GCTTTCCATGTTCAGGATCAGTGGGAATTGCACTCTTGCCTCAGAAACATGGATTGTCGACCGTTCGCCGTCACGATCATGTGCCGACATATTATGGACCGCAAGGCAGCTCTACCATTGATCACATTTTCACGCGCAGGGTCCAACAGGATTCGCGTGCCAAACGGGGGCATGTGATCCCATATTTTCCCGTGGCAGGGTGGAGACACTACCGTGATCATGTTCCCTTGACGGCGAGTTTTGCCCTTGGAAGTGGTCGGCGCGGCAGGCTATCATTGACCAGCTGGTAGTGAACTTCGGCAGCACTTCGACGCAGCTGCCAGGCACCTTCACTTGATTACTTGCAATCATTCACGCAGTGGAGTAGAGATTATTGACATGACCTTGCTGTTTCCACCAACCCTTCTGTTTTACCCCTTATTCCTTTGGTGACTATAGGGGGGGTGGTTGATAATAGGTGCTCCCTTGAATGGTTGTTGCCTACTTCTGGAAGACTGGTTGCGTGCGTGTGGAGGCACTACCACACTTGGTGTCGCACACGTAAATGTCTGCGTCAGTACACCAGATGTGAAGACCCGCAAATTCCGTTCCCTCACAAGCCAGGCCTCTGTGGCCGCCTCCAGCTATGATCTGAGAACGCTGTACGGTGTCATTCGTCACCTGCGTCCCAAACAACCGAGACATTTGATCCGTTTTAGGGACTCTGCTGGTTTGGCTCTGAGCCCACGCGAGGATTTGATGGTGCTTCGTGAACATTACCAACATGTATTCTGTGTTCCTCGACCTCCAGTCCCAGCCTTGCCGTGTGAGCGTTTGCAAGACATGTCTTTTTCGGTTGAAGAACTCGCTCATGCATTTGCCAAGGTTCGTCTTCATAAAAGCTGTCGGCCCTCACTCGCTGCCGCCGGCTCTGGTGAGGGCCTTGTCTGAACCCCTTGCAGAGCATTGCCATGCATTGTTGTCTCAGTTGTGGTTGGTTGATGGATTGATCATCCCATCTTGTTGGAAACATGCATGGTTGACACTTTTGGCCAAACGCACTGTCAAGTCTCCCAAGGACATCCGTCCGATCGCCTTAACGGACCTGCTGGGGAAGACGGTGTTGAGCCTGATTGTCATGAAGCCCAAACGCTCCACAGCTGATGCATTGATTCTTGCATTCGCGCACTTGCGAACCACCTGCCAAGCTTGTCAGCAGGCCTCCTCAACCGTCTGGCAACGTCGGGATGGAGGCCATGCGCACTGGTTGGCCGGAGGTTGTTGCTTGAGCTTGGACTTGAGTGAAGCGTTTGATAGACTTCCACGCCACTTACTCCGTGAAGGTTTTGATCTCACTCCATGTCCCCCCTCCCTGATTGCTTTGTTGCAGGCATGGCTCACTGATGCCCGCTACACTCTTTCTCACCGAGGGGAAGGCTGTGTGGCAAGCCCTTTGGAATGGAACGTGTTCACGTTCGCAGTTTTTGACCGCCTCCAAAACCATCCAGCCTGGGGACATGAGTGGATTCTCGCTCACTTGCTGGCGTTTGCTGACGATTTGCTCAGGTACTTAGGTACTGGAGCTTCACGGGCGTGGATGATGTCAGAAAGGCCTTGGTTGACATTGGCACGTTGCTTGACCTTTCAGAGTCATGCGGACTGAAGATCAACTACACCAAAACTGCCCTCTTGTTTCGGGTGGCTGGCTTCAAGGCTCAAGCTTTGCTTCGTGAACTTGTTCAGGTGGACGGCCATGAGAAATTTCTTCTCATCCCCCGGGATGGGGGACTTACCACTAGTTTGCCGATCACACGTGCTCATACATATCTAGGAGTTAAGATCAGTTACTATAACTTTGAACAATTGACCATGAAACACTGCCTACGCGTTGGCAGACTCTCATGTACACGCTTGAGATCAGTTCTCCTTCGACGGCGCGCGCTGTCCCTGCATGACCGAGTGAGAGTTTGGTCGACCTGTGTCAAAACCTCATACACTTATGAACTCATGGCATGTGGGGTCGCGAAAATGGGTCTGGAGGTTCTTGAGAAGGCGTGCCTGCGTGATCTCCCACGAATTGCCGGGGACAGTTGTCCCGCAACTCTTCGAGAAGGCCGCCCAGTAGAAACAATCTCAGTCCACGACGGCCCAGGCCGCTCCTCTCAGGATCGTCCTCGTGCAGCGTCTACTTCAGGGGTTGAAGACCGTCTAACCAAGGTGGTGAAGGCTGGGATGGGCGACGCGTTGAGACAACGTGCGGTGACCAACCGCTTCATGACTCTCGAGGGGGAATGGAACTTCCTCACCTGGAACGCTCAAGCGAAACAGTTGGAGGTGATGTGCTCTCTTCCGGGTGCAAAGCTGATGTCTTGTCTGGAGGAGGCCGCCAGGTCCTTCGCTTTAAAAGTCTTCAGAAGCCTGTAGACAACCCGCACTTCTGGTGGAGGGCCGTCTGAGGGGCCCATCAGCCCCGCCCGACGGCGCTGGCTGAACGCCACTTTGGTTTCCTTTTTGTGGGCTCGTTTCCACCGCGCTGATGCGAGGCGGCAGGATTTGGGGCATGGATGCAAGACCATCCAAACCTTGTTTTCACGAGCTGGTCCATGTTTAGATCTGGTGCAATTGGTGGAAATGCAACTGTTTAATACCTGGACCTGCTTAGGACAACAGGAACTCTACGAGTTTGTGCAACATTGGCTGAAGCCAAGACTCTTTGCTTGCTCATGGGAGCGTCGATTCGACCAGAGCGGTGAAACTCAGTGTCATGATCGAGGAGCTTGCCTCGTTCCGGTGCTGCTGACACCATCGCCTCAGACCGACTCAAAAATAGCTCTTCAAACCCTATAGTTGACGAGTGGGAAACCTTGTATGGCATGAGAGCGGCCTTGACCACCAATCCCAAGCACACTGCACTCATCTTTGACAAGTCCGTGTGCCTGCAAGGTCGCTATACCAGAAAGCGGGCAGCTGGAGGTCTCGCAGACAGTGGAGCTTCCAGTGTTTCGTTCAGACTTTAACCTTGCCAGTGACCCTGTCACTTATCAGGTACCGGAGGACATTATCGCGCAGTATCTCGCACTTCATCCGGCTGGGCATCCATGGACGATTCCAAAGAAGCTGTTCCGACTGACCCTAGACCCTATCCACCTGCTTCCTACACAGCATGTCACGCTGTTGTGGATGGTACGTGCGGAGGCCTACTTTGTTTGTGATCCACCCCAGGTCCATCCCTCCTTTTTCGTGATGAGCTCATCGTTCACACCCTTCGTTTTGCGCGGGAGGGGGATTGGCAGCCGTTCCAGGCGTTGGATACGCCGTTGTGCCGACCGTTCAGGACAACTTGTGTGGTCTGCGGCCTCTACGTACCAAGTGGGCCACTGCTGGAGCTCCATGTGCAACAAACTCACGCCGGTTACTTGGAAGCCGCCCGTCAAGCTATGAGTCACCTTGTATCAGCTGCTTTGTTTGACACTATCCCCTGCACCTTGTGTCATGGGGAGCTTCGGCCGGGGGGCGCATTGGAAACCCTCCAACCACGTTTGCCAAATGGCCTTAGACCTGGGACTGGGTTTTGTCTACCATGCGCGCGAGCGAGCTCCGTTGGGAACCATTTCTGATTTTGACACGCCGCCAACTCAGCGTGCCCTGTGAAGGTTGCAATCCCCCACCAACCATGCTGCTGCGCTGATGGAACGAGAGAGACTTGGCTGGGCAGATCTTGCGGATGCCGGCGCTGTTGCCCTTGGGCGCCACTTGGCTGCTGTGCGAGCGGCGGATGGAAGTGCAGCTACTGCTGCTGAATCTGATGGGGGGAGCAGCGGCTGGTCTTGCACAGTTCTTTAGCCAGCTGGTGGATTCGAGTACAGGTCGATCAGACTGATCTTTTCCTTTTCCTTTTTGAGTGGTGATCACCACACGAACCACATAGAAGTCACCGGGCTCTGCCTTCATGGCCACGACACTGCTCGTGGGCAAGGCGCCGCATGCGACTGACCCTCGCAGCGCCACGAGAGAGAGAGAGAGAGAGGTCGTCGTCGTCGTCGTCGTTGTTTTTCGCGTTCAATCAGTCAACCGTGGAAGCCATGAAACACGATGAAAAACCCGGAACGTGGATGAATGTGGTGCATCACGAACTACGAAGTACAAAGCACAAAAATGGCAGCTGAACAGTGTGGATTTCTCGCAGTATCCACAGCCACACTGGGTGACACATGTTTCTTGAGGCCCAAACCTTCGGCTTCGAGCGGGTGGACTACGTGTGGTACCGAAACCCGGCGGCCAGCGTGCCGGATTTGTTTCATGTCCAGGCTGCTGGGATGCACTTGACTTGCGTGTGTCTTAAACTTGGACCTCAAAAACCCCGGGAAAAAGGGAAATAGACCTAAACCCATTGGTCCGGGATCTCGTTATTTAATACACGCCCATTCTTCTCGTGCAGGACTTGTGTATGAGTAAAGTTTTGCACGGAATGTCATTCATTTATGTTTCGTGTTTAAAGAAAATGTACATAGTCCAAAACAGATCAAAACAGTATGACAGTAGAGGATGATTTTGTGGTAGCCTACTCAGAACTTGAATGATTTGAGGTTTTCTGGATCGTCCCTGAGTCGTGAAGTGACTAATTCGTGCAGAGCCAGCGCCCGTTTGGCGCCGGCGCACGGCACCTACTGGCCTCCAACCTAAAAACCATGATGACCGTTTGGCGTCGGAATTTCAAGACCGACGGACGCACAGTGAGCTCTTGGTGCGCAGACCTGGGGAGCCAAAAAGGAACGCAGTCACAAAGCAGACATGTGCAGACTCAGATCATTTAATCAGACTATGCCATATTTGAGCAAGGCTTGAGCAATAAAAGGTTGCTGTTCTTAATTACCGTGGACCGTGATCTCGACAGATTACTAGACGGAGGTTTGGGATGGCAGTCCCAAGCGAGCTTTGCCAGAATCATCCAGAATCCATCAGAATTCAGCATTGCAGTGCTGCAAACTGTCTCTGCACCTCCTTTGGTCGCGGGTGGTGAGGCCATCGTGGACACTGCCGTGTGGGTCCAAAATATCGACTCCAAGATGCTGAAGAACGAACAATCCCTGAGGAGTGGGAGACGGGAGGAGGGGGTCCAGGCCATCGCTTCGCCTTGGCCGCCGCCCTTGTCTATCCTTTTACAGACCCAACCGAAGGGTTTTCCCAAAGGCTACTGTATTGTGCTACAGGTCTTCACATGAACCTTGTGTAGATAACATGGGGTGACCCTGGGTCGACGACTGCGACTCCAGTATACTCCAGTAAGGAAATCAAATCGAGCGTTGCCACTTTCCAAAGCGGAAGTCGGTGTGATCAGCACAGGGAAGGTGATTCTTTGTGAAACGTGCACGTCCCAGACCTGTGTCTAGGACAGAGCGCGACGGAATTGAGAAGAAGTTCAAGAAGGAGCGGATGCTTCAGAGCTTGACACATGACATTGACTCAACACTTTGCTGTGGCTCAACCATCTACACTGCAACCAGTTCTCTGCGTGTGTTTTATTCCTCATCAAAGGTCAAAGTTCAAAGGTCGCTGCACTCACCAGATGTTCCATTTTCAGATCCGGATTGCATGGAAACACGCATGGACACACACAACAACATACAACAACCGCGTCCTCTGATGTCCCGACCTGATCTGTGACAACAGGACCGGCAGGCCTTTGAGGATGACCTCACTGGTTACCTGGCGATGGTGAACAAGTGGGGGGGCCCCGGGGCTCATGGCTTTTCGCAACTTGACTAGACACCTGACACCTGTGAGTCTTTGAATGTCTTTGAACTGGGCTTACTTTCCTAACAGGATTGCTTGAAAGGGAAAGACACATTCAATGGAAGAAACCGACCTTTTGGGTATTCACTTGTTCCGGATTACTGCAGCAGGATTCCTCACAAAGCTGGATCGCTTTGTGACACGGAATTCCCCGGCGTAGGTTCAAGGAAGCCGGGGACTTGAAGAAGATGGACGACAACTCGGAACGAATCGTGCTCCTCAAGGCTAGGCAAAGTAAGCAATTCATTTTAGATGCCTTTTGAATCTTTTAGAATGGATACTATTCGATCCATTTCGATCCAAGCATAAGCACAAGCACTAGAGTCACTAGAGTTCGACTGGATGTGTCTTTTTGATAAGACAGTCTCACTGGATGCTTTTCCATGTTTCTGCTTTCTTCCTCTTGATGGCACTGACACTTTCTATGAAAAACCACCACCCAAAAAAGCATTCGTCGCCCTTCCTCCTCTTCCAGGATCACCTGCAGCATGCGCGCAACGAAGCAGAAAAGATCAGGGAAAAAGAGGCCCCGACCTCAGGGCCCCGGACATCACAAGGGGGAGACGCCCGTGGAACCGGAAAGCCGGGACTAAAAACAACGACACATGTTTTTTTCCATCCGCTTTATGAACGGACCCGTGAACAAAATATAACGAATTTGATAGATGCACAGCACATGGATAGAAGGGGCTTTTTGCATCTTCCCCAAAATCCACGGGTCATTTCTCGAACGTATCTGCCACCAGATCCTGCTTGACTGGGATCCCTCGGACTTCGAGAAGCTCACGGAGGCGCGCTGAACCGCGGATGCGGACCTCGCGTGCCATGCTGCCATGAGCTGTAAGAGTCAAGCTGCGATGAGCTGCGAAGAGTCAAGGGGCTTTGAGTGAAGATCACAAAACGCCAGAACATGATAGGCACCACCACCGAAGCGATCACCATGCGTAAGACCACAGCTTTTGGATCTTTTGGATATGGGAGATATAAAGGGGATACTATGCTCCCTCAAAAGCGATCACATTGTTGATGACTTTTCAACAAACATTTATCAACTTGGAAGTCTTGTATACAATCTTTCCCTTATGAACACGGTGCTGCCAGATGGTCAATTCAGCCATGCAACCATTGAAGACTCCGCCATGCTGACTCTGGTGGCAGTTCTGGTGGCATATCCTTGCGATGTCCTTCCCACATCTCACCCGCAGTCACTTCAACTGCATAGTCTCTTCTGCCAAAATGAACCAGTCAAAACAGTAAGCATGCAAGTACCCTCCCAGACCCGTTCACCACCTTATACAACCAGACTTTAAGCTGTTTCTTGGCATGTCTTTTTATCCCGAGCAAGTTGTGGCGCCAGGCCATCGACAAGTTGGCTCCCTACGACGATTTGTGGGAGTTGGTCCATAAGTGGACCACTGAGGCCAGGACGAGCGTCATGCCGTGGGAGAACAACCGGCCACGTTGGAGAAGTGTGGGTCATTCGGACGTGTGATCCGTCCGAAAATGGCCCACTGGGACGGAGACTGGGTGTCTCAAAGCGGAGACACCTGCCTGTTACACTTTGGGTCATAGATGGACACACTGATTGATTGAATCTGGCCCATCAGGCCCGAGTGTCTTGATGTGTCTTGGGCCCTTTCACCAACCCAAAACCGGCTTTGGGGCCTGCGTCTTCACGCTGGGTCTCCGTTGTGTCAGGAGAAGAAGTGGATGCGTGGGCCCCTCTTCTCCTTGGAGCCCGAGGCAGTGGATGCCACGGCCAACAGCCTGGCGAAACGGGCCATGAAGCTTCAGGCGCCCAAGCGAGAAAGAACAGGGATGGACACCAGGAAAAACGGGCTTATTAGGTGCTGACTAAGTCAGACTTGTAATAATAGGACTTTCAGTGTGAAAGATGTCTTCCACGAACTGATGAGTTAGTTGCATATAACATTGCACAACCAATCGAGTCATATTTATATATACAATCATATTAAATACGTCAGGTCATCATTTGAGAGTTGTGATGATTCTTTCGCTCAACAAGAGACACCAAGCTCGGCTATCCGCTCTCCGTTCCCGAACACAGGGAACACGAAACAGGGGATTTCGCCTGTCAGGAATTCTCCATGAGAATCCTGGGGTGTCAGGAAGAAGCCGACTAGGAGCACTGACGCTACTAGGGGCTCCTGGCATCGCTACTAGGAGCAAGGACGCTACCAGGAGCAAGGACGCTACTAGGGGCTCCTGGCCTTACTGCTAGGAGCAAGGACGCTACTAGGGGCTCCAATCCTGGGGTGTCGGGAGACGCCGGCTCCAGGGCTTTTTCGAGTCCCAGAACCTCCAAGCGCCGGTCTTCGTGGCGAAGAAGATCAAGAAGGCGCTGACAGGTGACGGTTGGAGAAGAACTCGGGTTTACTATGAATGATGACAGGAAGCGGATACATTTAAGCAGTACCTGCCGCTGATCCACGCGTTATGAGCCTTGGCAGAAGCTACGAAATCAGATCGGATGGTGATTGGCTATTGGAAATGACATGATATGAAATGATATGACCATATCACACTCCCAAAAACCACAGCTGCCGATCTTGAAGTCGATCTCTTTTCATCCAAACCTCAGGTGGTCACGAACTGGGATTCTGTGGACTGCCGAGGCAACCCGGGCCTTCGGCCTCGGCACTGGGAGGAGATCTCCGAGGCCGGGCTCTCGTGATTGGACGCTGCGCCTTGAAGTCTGAGTGTTAGGATCAGAGAACAAAATCACCATCGCTTTCTTCAGTCTAAATGTAAATCAAATTTTGGGTTGCCTGTTTTGAGACACCGATTTTAGGTTAAACTCCATGTCGTTTGTGTTCTTTCCTTCGCTCCCCCTCAAACGTCTTGAAGTGGGAAGACGTGAGAACAAGTTGCCCTGTTTCAGGCGGAGCAGCTCCTTTAATGTAGCACTTCTAACAGACACTTACCAGACATGGAAGAGGATCCGGAGGATCTAGTAAAAGGGACATTTCATGCTTGAAGGGTGGGCAGTTGATCTACAGATTGCGCAGATGATCGCAGGTGGTCCACTTTGCCATGGAGAGGGACTCTGCTTTCACGCTGAGTCGAGTGGTGGACATGGATGTGGCGACTCACCTGTGTCTTGCCTGCAGCTTTTGAGAAGAAACCGCTGTCATGCAGACAACGATCTCGTCCGATCTCGCCAGAACTGAGGACTGCTCTGCAGGAGATCTCAGACTCAGCCTCCAGAGAGTATGGCTTGGTGCGGAACCTTGGAACCGCGTCGAAACGCCTCACGCCCAGAAAAATGATTGTGCTGTGTGGAGTCGGGCTCTAGATGAATCCAAGCAGAGAAGGCAAGAGTGTCGCCATTGTGGGGAAGAGATGACTGGAAGTTAAAGGAAACTCAACACAATCCAGGCCGCAGTCCCTCTTGGTCCACCTACCAGGAGAAGACCCTGGAGTCCATCTATGAGCAATGGCAACCAGTAAACTTCGAGCTGAAAGCGTGGAAGGTCGGGCTCTGCCTGGTGTCTGTGTTTTCCTCCTGCCATTCCTTTCTTTTCAAGGGGATGCTTCAATGTATCAACGCGACATTGGGATCTTCCACTCTGTTTCTTCAAATTTCTTCGTGCGGCGGATCAATTTGGAACGCGTGGTTTCAAAATTTCCCAGCCAGAGTGCGGTTTCCAGCCAGCCTGCAGTTTCCACATTTTCCAGCGAGCCTGCGGTTTCCACGTTTTCCAGCCGCGTGCGGTTTCCAGCGTTTACAGGGTTTCCAGCCAGCGAGCGCGTTGCGTGATTGGTGCCTCCCACAAAAAACACATTCAACCACTCAAGCAGCCGCAATATATTAATTAGTGGTGCATTTTTCGTGTATGTATGGGGTGATTTCAGCAGTTGTTTGTTGGCGCAGGTAGTGGCATGTTGCTTGGTGGCCAAAAGTCTACCCCCCCACTCCCCCACCACCCTGTGTTGTGCAGGTAGTGTGTACGCCAAACGTGGTAAGAATGAGTGTACACCAAAGGTGCTCCAAAATGATCACCAAAGTGTTGTAAGACTGCGGTCTGAGTGGCTTTGTGCTTATAGTATGTGTGTTCCAAAACGATCCATTTCATGTATTCCTAAGTGAGCCTGGTGCCCTTGAAGGGTGGGTGTTGGTTTGCAGATGTTTGAAGGCCTGGCTCATGCCAGAGACATCAGAGAAGTCAGTTCAGGGACCCTTTACGAGCTCACAAGCTGGACTAGTCGGCTAGCGGCTAGATAGCTAGTTAAATGCTGAGCCTTTCAGGCGGCTAGTCATGCAAGCCTTCGCCTCATCTCCTCGCCGCCCCTCCCGTTCGCAGGATACGGAGACCTACATTGTTGCGGGTTCCACCGTGGATGAGATGCAAAGCTTGATGGACGACCATATCATCAAGGTCCAAACCATGAAAGGACCTGAGGGTGGGCTGATGAAACAACCCCGCGCTCAGCAGTTTAGTATTGGCTGGCACCTTAACACTACTAATGCATTGCTAGCCCAGAAAACGACAAGAGTGAAAAGGAACACGATACCGAGCTTGTACATGTTCATTAACCCTGAAGATGGCAACCTGCATAACAAACTATAAAAGAACGATAACAAAATATGACAACAAGGCAGCGAGCGCTTGAGAGGAGACCCACACGACCCGTTTGAGCATATCACCTGTTGAAGGAAATTCGAAGGAAACAAATGCGAAAGGAACAGATGACATTTGTGGACTTTCGACCAAGGATGCTTTCCCACCCACAGAAAGCTGGAATATAGTCAATGGAAGGTCAATGGACGTTCATCTCCCCCGCAGCTTGGATGTTCACCACCGACAAGGGTCGTTTTTGAGAGTTATCGGTCAAAGACGCTTTATCGATGTTTATCGTTCTGTGTTTTGCCGAGTTGACACAACTTACTGCAGATGCCAAATACAGTCGGGCCGCCCTAACCTCCAACTGCTGGGCTGTGAGGATCGCCGTATGCCAAAGCCTTCATGGAAAAGATCACATCGCCACTGGGCAAAGATGCAGTTGCGCCGAGAGACCGGGACTGATATTGGCATCACTACTTGGAACAAAGGGCATCGCTACTAGTAGCGCCTGGCATTACTACTGTATAGTAACAAGAATGATATCTGGGGATTGCATCCCAATATATCCCAATGATCTTCAACATGTTGCCAGATGCAATCCTGCATTTGGCTTGCCACAAAGATGTCCTAGCTTTCACTTGAAAACAGGGCGCCCTTTGAATGTCCCTAGGCCCTAGGTGATGTATTCTGTTGAACATATAGATTTGTCAGATCACCATGGCCATTCTGAGGTTAGAATCCTGGCTACTCCAGACGCAGGAGATCTGCGAACTCGCTTTTGACTTTTGTCACTGAGCAGACTCATGATCTCTCGAGGGATTCTGAAAAGGCCCAGAGTAAGAGGAATGTTCAAAGCTCCAAAAACATGTTGGACTCACAAGAGAAAACGATCAGATGATCCCAACCTTCAGTTGCTTTTGGGCCAGCTTCATGAATCCATTTTTGGGAGACCAACTTTACCAGGAGACTGTGAGCACTACCTCATACCTGGCTTTTGCCTTTTTCATTTTTAGGAGATCATGGACATTTGGATGAAGGCTTCGAATCTGAGTGCAATATCGCAATATCACATGCTTGCACAGAATGATCAGATCGCACTGACATTTAAGTTAGGAGCAATCCAATTCTTGGTACCTAGGGTACGTAGTGGAGAACATAGGTATTTCAAGTTTCAAGCAGAATGGACATGACTAGACGCGAGCCATAGTGCTGTTCTAGTTGCTGTCCTATCTGTCCTGATCTTGTGTTTATCCTCAAACCACCAGACATCGTGTCAACCGCACCTTCGTGCCCACTCGTCAGGTGCAAGGCGTTTGGCTCTACTTGGAGCCCATTTTTTCCTCGGAAGATATCGTCAAGCAGATGCCCACAGAGGCCTTGCGAGCGGTGAACGCGAGGAGTACCTCTGGGGTTGTAGGTGGTTGTAGAAGACAATTTACATCAACTTACCTTCATGACCACTCTCAAGCCAGAGTCCTTGGGACGGTTGAGACAGGTGGAAGATTGTGTAGCATTCGGTCAGCGTTCTGAACATTCTTCACAGTGAACTGTGCGTAGAGGGGCTGCTTGGCTGTTGTGAAACAGCTTCATCTTCAGGCCACGATCTTCAAGCAAGTGGACATGGATTGGAGGGCCACCATGGCTGCGGCGTTGGAGCGCGCCTGGCATTTTTGTGGCCAGAGAGTCAGCCGGGATTGGTTGTTGATTTCGGTTCTGCACAGCTGCATCCAGGTACCGCATATACCCCAGCAAAAGGAATGCATCAACACAGCAAATCAAAGAGTCAAAGAACAAGGGTGAACATCTTGTAATTACAGTGGACAGCTCATATCACGCCAGAAAACAACAGAAACTTATCATTATTGAGCACTGAAGTGCTTTGTATGGTCGTTGATGAGTCCACAACTGCCGCCCAATGTTGCCATGATCCCGCACCTCCAGGGCTGGGAAGGCCATGGAAGCGACAAAGGCCGAAGGCCTTCTGGAAATGCTCCAGAAGTGCAATGGAAACCTGGACGTCGTTCAGAAGGCATCCGAGTCCGGGCGGTGGACGGTCTTCATCCGACGGAATGTTACTACTAGTAAGGCACTTGTTTCTAATAGCTTCTTGTTACTACTAGTAAGGCACCTGTTACTACTAGCGTGGCACCTGTTACTACTAGCTTTTTAAGGATGAAAGAATGAGGAAAGGGATTCTGATGAAGGAATTCTGGTTTTCTGGGGAGGGGGAAGCTGGGGCCAATTGGGATTGCTCAGACACCTCTTATAGAAACCCATTACATTGTAGAATTTGGCATGGTTTGGGATCTTCTTCATTGATGGTTATCGGTCGGTTTTGAATTCTGCTGACACTATTTGACAATACAGAAACCTGAAGTGAAGTTCCGATTGATCAGAAAAGCAAGTCCAGTTTGGGCTTCATTTATGGACCTGCACAGGGCTTGAACGATTACCTGGAAATGAAGCGCCTTGCTTTCCCTCGGTTCTTCTTCCTCTCCAATGACAACCTCTTGGAGATTTTGTCGGTCCTTGCCTCAGATGTACTCTTGGACAAGAGGTCAATTGTCAGGACTGACACACCATGGACCATGACCCACATGTTCTGGATAGTCTAGTCAAGAAAGGATTCTTTTGTATTCTTCCCTTATTTTTCTCGGGCAAGTTCCCATGCTTTCCGTGCTCTCGTAGTGGCAATCTTTGGCTCAAAGTTTCCTCCTGTTCATTCTCGAAGATACGAGAAGATGCTCCCAGGTAGTGCCTTTGTCCAGGATTTGAAGTTTTGAGCCTCGTTAGTTCACCTCTTCGCCATTCGGCGAATGAAAAAACTGCGCCACCTCAGAGTCGGATATACTCTGCCAAATACACTCCGTACACCTTCACTTTAGTCGTTCGAGTCGCTTGTTCAATGTTGTGTCCATACATTTTTCTACCGTTGTCCCCCGAAAAAAGTATTCCCCCCCCCATTTGGTCCTCTTCGTCACTGTCTGAGGTGGTGATGCCAAGAAAGGTGGAACCATCGCAGGCTCCTGGACGGAGGTCCTGGCCACCAACGCTGCAGAGATGCTCAAGTCCTCGGACGACCCGCAGGCGCTCTGCGAGACGCTGGCGACCATGGTGACGCTCAGCGAGGACGAACGGACGGAGAACGGCCGTTTGGAGAACGGCCGCGTTTTTTTTAAAAAAATTTTGTTTTCCCCTCAATTTTGCTTTAACGCGTAAGAATTTCTGGAGCGAAAGAGAAGCAAAGCTTCAGAAGTCAGAACACCCTTGTACTCCGAAGTGCATTTGTCAAAGGTATTCAGTCTAAAAACACCCATGCAAGGTGCACGGTGTACATGATGGTAATTTCTGCGTGGTGTCTCCGCTTGTGCAGGGTTTTGCGGTCTTGCGGCGCGGTTGCCTACGCTCTCAGCACAGAACTGGATGCGGCGTAAATGAGTGGAACCGACTTTGATCGACTTTGTATATCGAAGATTGCTGAATGTGTCGTCATCCTCAATGTCAAGTAGGAGATGATGTACAAACACGTAAAACTCCACAACCGCCGCTGCACCACTGCACCACCACCACCAGCACCTGCAGCAACAACAGGAATCAGAACGTTAATTAGACAAATGCGAAGCATGTCCCACAGTCACCTCCCTCGTCCAATCCTCAAGTAGAGTGAATCCTGGGCCTGGGCTTTGCTGGGTGAAACGACGTTGGGTGAACTCAACACTCACTGAGGAAGAACGGTGGTAAGCAGCAGAAAGAAGCCACCAGGGTGCTACACATTGGGTGGCGAGAGGCAATGAACAACAAGACAAACTCATGGATCAACATGGGTGTGGCTGATCTGAAATGAAGCAAAAGAGCCGTGTTTCTTTGTGAATGTACCCAGCGAAAAGCACCTGGATTTTTCAGGGTGACAATCTCCTTGATGTATAACAGATAATAACATATGACAACATGATATATATATATATATGATTTTATATATAACATGATGAAAAGTTGGACCCGAAAAATCTGGGCGCCCGCTCTTCACTGATCCTCAGGTGGTGGCCGCCTTGGTCTTCAGTGTCTTGTTCTCCGCCATCAACCAGCCCTTTGGAGTCATTGAGGCAAATGATATGTGGCAGACCCATCGCGAGGCCATGAACAACGTCCTGGTGTGTCTGCTGTACATCAGCACCATCTTTGGACTCATCACCGTGGTGTTGACCATTCTGCTGCTGATCCACATGGCGGCGTATGTGAATGATGCGGATGACTTCCTCTTCTTCATGAACCTGAACCCCACGCACTTGGTGGATTTGTGCATCGTGGTGTGTTTGCTGTGTGGCGGAGTCTCCATCCCACTGGCTGCGGTCGTGGGCAACAAGGAACCCATCGGCTCCATTTGCTTCTTTACTGGGATCCTCACATTCACTGGTGTTTTATACATCTACCTACGCTCGTTGATCGTCAACAACCAACGGGTGGCAAAGCGTCAAAAGGAGACCGAAGAACACCAGGAGACCATCGCAAGGATTTTGCGTGAAGAGCTTGAGAAGATTGTCGATGCCGACAAGACAGAGACAAAAATCTGTTAGTACGGCCGGGAGCCCCTAGTAGCGTCCTTACTCCTAGTGGCGATGCCAGGAGCCCCTAGTAGCATCCTTGTTGCTAGTAGCACCCCAAGTGCAACAAGTGTCATGTGCCCCCGCCCAAAGCTCCACGAAGTGGGCACATTGGGAGACTGAGCATTTTCGATTCAAAGAATCGACGTGCGCTCAGATGGCTGGTATTGCATGATATTCCATGCGATCGGGGCCAAGCTGGTGCCAGACAGACACGGAAAAAACCGTCTCTGCACGGCGTCCATGGCGCGGTCTGGTCGTCGCTCCGGTCTCGGAGGCGCGGTGCGTTCAGAAATTGCCCTCGTTCGTCGCGTGCGCCGAGGAGACCAAAGATCCCACCAGGGTGAATCCACACATGAAGAAGGCCTGGGTGAAGCGCGGCGCTCCATGACCCGAGCGGCTCATGTCGTCAGTTGCTTCAGACAGTTTCTGAAATTGATGTGCTGCGCCGGAGGCTTTTGAGGGCATTCAATCCTTGGAATTCCAACCAGCCCAAAGCTCAGCATCTGCGTTGACGATGAGTGATTTGCAACATCCTAAGGCTCCATAGCAACCATTCGAATCCATAGCGGACCCACAAGAATTCGAGACTCGGATCATGAGGATCAGCGAATCACCGCCATGATTTCCTCAGAGAAGGAGGTAGTCCCAGCCACGGCCTTAGACCGGAGAACGGGGTCAACGAATGGGTCAGATACAGACTGTATTAATATGAATATGTTGCTTTCTTTTTACAGCTCAGGATTGTTCAGGTTCTGCTGTCCGCTTTCGGCGCTTCATCCGTCTGAGGTGAAGAACCCCGTGGACCCCCATGCTGCCCGGGGCAACGTCGAGCTGTGGCTGGTGGAGGTGGAGGTCCGGCCTCCAGATTGGGCTGCGCTTGGGCTGGAGCGCTGGTGACCCAACATGGGTGATCATTGGGGGGGCACAGGGTGCGGGTGAGGTGTTTTTTTTTTTTTTTCTCAGAGTTTCCGGGGAGCTCTTGGAGTGTTGGAAAAGAAATCATCATACCTTGGCAAAGCCTGATGATGGATCGGCTGAGCCTGATGTTTCTGGATCAAGGATGAACCCTTGAATGGTGTGGGTCTAGAGCGTGCATGAGCGTGCATTTTGCCTACTCAAACGCACTTCATGAATCTTCATGACCCATAAGACTCATACTTTCGATCGCGGCCTCGACTCAATCATCGTGAAGGCTCGGGCCGAACATCCGACCTGCGGACTCACCCCGCGCCTCAGGCGGCCATGCTCGAAACCATTCGTCACGTATGCTTGGCCTCTGCGAAGGACGCCCCGCAACGCAGGAAGAACGCGTGTGAGGAATGTCGACCGGCAATGGTGTGGTGATGAAACGGAACCCTCACCGGTTTCTAAGTGTTTTTTTTTATGTGTGTGTTTTATTTTTTCAATTGAGAGGATGCCTGTTGAAGGAATGAAACCTGCAATGTGGAGGTTGGAGGAGAATTGTCCCGCTACTGGCAATGCTTTTGGTGGTTCCAAGTAAGACTCCCCAGCCCATGAGTCGCTTGTTGCTTTCGTTTGCGTAAAAAGCCCCGGCGGCAGTTAGATGGCCAAAGCTGCAGGACTATGAGGAAAGGAACAAGTTCACGGATTGGTTGAAACAGTGGCCAGGGCAGGCCGGATCTTGATGTATCACCAATCAACCATGTTTCAAAGCTCATTTGGTACATTGCAAGTCGAGTCAAACGAGTCAAAGCTTGTGAGCTGGAAGTTGTCCGTAAGTGGAACGTGAGCGTCCCCTCTCCTGCAGGCAGTGATTGCTATCTTCTGCTTGTTCTGGACACGTGAGGCATGACCCTCTTTCAGGAACTTGACAAGTGTGTCCGGTTGAGTGAGTAAGTTGGTGCCCTTCAAAAACCTGTCCGCGGTGCAGCATGTAGACTTGTCACAGCTTGCGTGCAACTTTGCTAGGTGGAAGCCGGGCTCAAGAGCAACGGTAAGGATGGGGTACGGATGCCCATTGAAGCCAAGAGGGCTTGTCTCAATCGGCCCGAACATGGCCAGAACGCTAGTTTAAGGTTCCAAAGCGCTCCAGACTCCAGAAGGAGGTTTTCAGCATTTGTTCAATCAGGTCCTGCAGGTTGCAGACAAGCTGAAGCTGACCCTAGCAGATATCATTGCTCGGATCTGAGTCAACAAGTCATGACTGCCGTGGCAACTCCCGATTGGAGGGTCCAACGGTCCAACTCCAGAGGGCTCAGGAACCCAACTCAAAGAATGTATTTCGATTACTGCATAGACTTGTGTGTCTTTGTGATTGCCTAAATGATCGGTATTTCTTCAGGAAGAATGGTACTGTACACGTGAGCATGGGATTCACAAGTCGATTTCTGGATGATTCTGTTTGCATGGCTTTTTGTGTGATTACATTACATATATACACTTAAATTACATAAAATTACCAAATAATTAGACATATTTTCATTAATCTATATTTATTTACTTTTTTAAAGAATGATTTGAGCCCTGCCAGGATTTGGTCCGGAATGACATTCCTCCGCTCACGCGATGCACATTGGAAGCTTTGATTGTGATCTTCGTACACAACAAGGCACCGCAGTGCTGCCCGGATCATTGCTGATACCACTTCCTTTTCAACAAGTTCTTTTTTTTTCCAGGACACTGTGGAAGAACTGGGAGCACTTGGAACCAGTGTAGTGGACGACTTCGATTGGTTGGTTCAGCTGCGATACTATGTGGAGGACGGAGTTGAGATCAGTGACCAGGGCTTTCAAGCATCATGCGACGACCTGATGTTACATTCAAGGAGAACCCAGAGAAGCCTCACCAGCAAGACTTGCGTTGAGCCCAGCGGTTGAGTTGCCTTTGTTTTGTAAAGATATTCAGTTGCTGCAATGTAATTACGATTAATTACGCCTTTCTGCTCAAGGCCACCCAATCCATGATAATCCATGGTCAATCTCCACAGTGCAGTTTGGGAAGTTCCCATCCATTTGAGGTTGGTGCAGGAAAGCACAACTAGAAGCAACATATATATTATATACCTTGTTCGATTCAACTGAGATCGACTATCAAGAGTGAAAGGTATTCCCGCGATTAAAGCCTTCCCCCAAACCACGGTACGTCCATTTCCGTGCCTTTTTTGGGATGTCCCAAAGAAACACCTCTGGACCCGCAACAAAAAACAAATGTGCGCGGTGCTGTGCTTTTGTTTAGCTTTCCACACGAGGTTTGTCAGAATCACCAACAGCTTTCTGGGCTATGCCTACGAATACCTGGGGAACTCCTCCCGACTCATCGTGACGCCTCTCACGGTGCCTTGAGCCGAAGTGGACACGCGCGACCTGCGGAGCCGGTGCGGCGAAGTGGCGGGTTCCGCTGGACGCGGGCCGAAAGCTGCTCACGGACCCTCCAACTCACATGGAGGTGGAGTTCATGCCCTGTTCGTAAAGGAACGTCGTCTTCCAAGGGTGTCGCACATGTTGCATCATGATCCGCCTCCATGTCATGTTTGGAAAATAGTCCAGTCTGCCTATTGGGCCAGGGGGTCGCCCTAATACACACCCATCGTTTCGCCAGGATCGCTGCTACCGAACTTGCCAGAGTCTCAGCCAACGCGGTGGGAACGTGACACAACGTGGCAATTCTTCACTTGGTGTTTCGATTTTGCAATGTTTGCTGGCTGAGTGCAGGACAGCTACCATTGGCTACCAAATGCGTTGGAGTTCCTGTCCAGTCCGTCCTGAAATGGTCAATACACAGGCACTCCCCCCTCAACAGATGAACACATATTGAACACCCATTGCTTGGTGGGACCGTCGTCACTTGGTTCAACACAAATCCGAACGGTTGGACCCTCCATGGGTGGAAGGTCGTTGCCAACACAAACGCGGCGACCGGTCAACCGGTGTTCTCCGACCCGAGGCTGTGGTGCACTTCACCTTCTCTACGGTGCTGCTCCCGAGGGTCCAGCAGGGACTGGAAAGACGGAGACCGTGAAAGATCTCGCCAAGGCGGAACAGACGGGTATTTCAAACGGACTGAGGAAGGAGAGACCAGGATGTTGCTGTGAGGGTCAAAGAGTTCTTGCTGTAAGTAGGGATGAATCATGAATATAATTGAATCTATGATTCGCATATATGAACACATTCACTATATGAATACATGATGCAAGGAAAAAGACAACAAAACAAACAGACACATTCCTTTCTTCCCCTAATGACTTTTTCTCAACTGTCGCCTATCTCTCCATTCTTCTCCAGGCCTTGGCCCGCTTCTGCGTGGTCTTCAACTGCTCGGACGAGCTGGACTACTTGGCGATGGCCAAGTTCTTCAAAGGCCCGTATGGGCATGAGCGGTTCCCCCCAAAAAGCCCAAACATCCCAAAAACATCCCCCAAACCCCAGACGTTCTACACGTGCGCCGACCGTTCTTCGTCCACGCCTGCGCCGCGACGCCGCCACGAAGGCCTCGCGGCGTCGGGCGGATGGGCATGCTTTGATGAGTTCAACCGGATTGACGCGGAGGCGGTGGCAGACGCGGCATGGTGGACGGAAGGTTTGGGAAAGGACGGGAAAGGAGGAGATAGGAGAATCCAGCGTTTGTTGTAACATGATGTAACATGTTGTAACTTATGTGTTTTCATTCTTTCAGGATTGTAAGGTGACATCTGATATCTTTTGGTCAACCGCGCAAGCCTCCGCTGCGATCACCAATCAAGCTTGGGCATGTTGAAGGGCGGTGTTGGTGTCAAGCAACAACCATAGCCTTTGGATGGCCAGATATGGTCACCAACCAGTGGCTAGCTGAATGTAGCACTGAGAAAGCTAGCTGATTGGCGCAAGGCTGAGGTATTCAGACCAAACGGTCCACAGGTGTTGAGCGTGATCGCGCAGCAGATCCTTTGCATTCAGAACGCCATTCGAGCCGCTAAGCCAAAAGTTGTGATCGGAAAGACCACTTTTCAAAGTGCTGTGGATAGTCATTGAGCGGGAATGGCTGTGCCGAGGAAAAGAAGACGCACTTTGAGTTTGAGGGCACGGAGCTTCCCATCATTTGGACTTGCAACTGTCAAGATCTTAGAAGATCTCGGCCAAGTTGTGTTTTGGCCATCTCATCTCGGCCACGCCTTCGCGGGCCACTGCCCCAGGTTTTATCACCATGAATCCTGGCTACGCTGGACGGGCGGAGCTGCCTGACAACTTGAAGGCAGGGCCCTGGGTGACACGGCTGCGGGCCATGCCCCATGGAGCAACCCACTTGGGATACCTGCTATCCCCTGCTGACCCTGCCCAGGCCTTGTTTCGAACCGTGGCCATGATGGTGCAAAGCTCAGTGGTTTTACCGCGGCCGGTGGCGGTCGCGGTGCCCGGTGCAATTCGTCAGGATCGTGGTTTTGAATGGTTTTGAGAGAGAATCAAGTGGAAAGTGAGTTGCTGAAGGTGCCAGACTATGCCATGATTGCAGAGATCAAGTTGTACTCCTACGGTTATGAGGACCAACTTACTGAAAGCTTTGGTCTTGTGATTCTCACCCTTCGCTCATCAGGATTCTCGCTCATTGGCCCAAAAGATCGCAAGCAGCCAAGAGCACACGTCAATCTTCAGAAGAATTGTCACGTCACACCTCGTCACAATCCGTTGGCTTCGCGTGACTTTTTCTACCATAAAGCCTATTGGGTAGTTCCAACTGACTGAACTCCATCCGAGTTTGTACCAAGCTCTAGGGCGATCGAGCTGCGTTCGCTCGTTGGCTTGAGGTGACCACCTACAAGCTTTGCTCTGAGCAGCTTTCTTCACAGAAGCCCGGGGCCACGACACGTGGAACACCATTTCTTATCCTCTAGTGCGGATGAACCGACGTATATTCGTTTTGAGCGGTTTCAAAGGTTTCAAGGAGATAGAGGATATGGCCAGTACTGTAAGTATTTACCCGTGGTGAGTGGTGCAGGATGTTTCTTTTTCCCCATCAATCAGAAGCTCAAGATCAGAATCAATGGATTCAACCCCTAGAAAAGTCGGTGGTACTATAGTATAGTACTTACCAGCAGTTCCATGTCGGGGTGCTGAGGGGTGAAAACGGTGCCCCTTGTCCACTCACGAGCGTGTCTAACGTGTCTACCGGTCTATCTACCACCGGTCTGTTGGGGTCTGAACTTCGGATGTTCCCGGAAGTTCCCAACTTGAGCGACTCATCTCAGACTCTGACCGTCTACGGGTGGTTCGAACCCACCGCATGTGGTACTTACCGAGGCATTATGACTATGGCATGCGCGCAGTCTTTGCAGTGCTGGTGCAAGCTGGTCGGTGACGGGCTCGGTGGGGGGGAAACGACGACGGGGCGCCGAGCGGTTGGGAGTTTGAAACGATGAATTGACCGAGGCTCAAGCGCAACAATCCCACCCAGGAGGAGCTGATGCCTTAGCTTTCCCTCTTTTGGGGCACAAGTCAGGTTCTGCTTCATGCGGACCCGGACCATCCTTGTTATACGTAGTAGAACCATGTCAAACCAGAGAAGGGGGTCAAATGCTTGGAACTGTTCATGTTCTATCATTTTCTGCAAAAACTGCTTTCGCGATCTTCTACTTTCGCTTCACCGATAATATGTTGGTTCGACCGACACCACCACTTCGACGAACGAAGAAGACCGACGCTTTGCCAAGGGCCAAGTTGATGCTGCAATCCGTCAATGACGTGAACCTCGCGAAGTTCCTGGACTTCGACGCAACCCGCCTCAGTGGTTGGAAGACGCTCTTTAAGAGTGCGGAGTTGATGTTTTGACACGATGTTTTGGATGGAAACATCTTGGGATTGTGCCACTGTGCACCTTGGTTCACGATGCTTGTTGAGTCAATCATCAGGCTATACTGGCTATGTATGGCTATGTATCCTCTTTGAATAGCACGTGAAAAAGATGGGAGCAGATAGGAAACCTGAAGCATGCCTGCCAGCTTGCTTCTCTCAGGTGCCGCTGTACAATGGCATTACAAAGGATTTGTTCCCGGGTGTGTCCGCTGCTTACTCACGACCTGCTAATACACAAGCAACTGAACGGGATTCGCTTGGAATCAGTAGAATTACCGGCACTATCCTGCACTGGTCAAAAGCTGCCACATACAGGTGTTGGATGGTGTTGGGGTAGCCACCAATTAATTTGGCATATGATGTCAATCGCAAGCTACTGCTATTCGGCTGTTCTTTGCCTTAGCGGCTATGAAGCTATTGCTGCACCATTTGGTGGTTGCTGAGGGAATTGCCGCAGCCAGATTACTCCATGATGGTGCTGAACCTAGCATATTTGAGTCAGCCAGTCCGGGCCGGCGCTTGCCATCGCTTTCAGGTCAACAAGCTGACGCAAAACCTGGATGTCACCCATTGCCAGGTTGGGAGCTTGCTTCATTTTGTCGACCCATGGACCTGCATTTAGGAGCAAGGACGCTACTAGGGGCTCCTGGCATCGCTACTAGGAACAAGAAGCTACTAGGAGCAAAGGGCATCGCTACTAGGAGCAAGGACTACTAGTTTTGGTTTTCACCTAGATCTTTGCGACATGCACAGGCGCATCCTTACTTCATCGACAAGATCATCCAATTTTATGAGTGCCACCTTGTGAGGCCTGGCTGATCGCCACATCCAGAGGTAAGATATGTTGTGATATCACAAGATGGTGAATAGTAGTGTTCATCCAATATGGATTGCTTGGATTTTGTAGACCTTTTTGGAGGACTCTTGGATGTTAGTAGGATCGCCGGCCCCCCCCCAACCCATATTATGGACGGTGGGTCAAAAACAGCTCCAAACTCTATAGGTTGACCATGTTTGGTGATCTATTCTGTTCATGCTCGGTGGTCGACCAGGGTTCCCCGTGTTTTGACCCACTGATGCAGTGGATGCGATTTCCATCTAGCTGACTTAATCACACAGACACCACAGGGACCTGGAAGAGGTGGGTCAAAGCTTTGGTCGACGTCCCGTGGATTTTACCCAGAACATGTTCTCCTACGAGGTCGGATTTAACATCAAGAATCATCAATACAGCGCCGGCTGCCCTCAAAATGGCGGAAGAGGGGGAATAGTATAAACCGCCCATAAACCACCCATGGGAGGTTTTGTATAAATAAGAATTCAACAGGAAACAATAAGACTTCCAAGGAAGTCCTGGTGTTATTGGTTTCTGTGGGAATTCTTCCTGTATTGGCGAGAATTGTTTTCTTCTCGGATACTGTACCAATAAGAATCCAAATCCTACAAGCCAGCCCAGAGAGTTTGTGGAGTTGATAAGGATGTAAAGAGGAGGAAAGAGGATTTGCAAGGAAAACAACTTTCTACTATTCTAATCCCAGAACAATTTCAGGGAATGAAATGACTTCGGGAACACTTTCGAATGTTAAAGCTTCCTTTCTTTGGGGTGTTTTGACTTGTGGCCCACATCAGTATAGGATTAGCTTCCATTGGCTTCTGATGGTGAGCAGAATTCCATCCTGTCAGGCACAGTGTCATGCTGGTTGGGATGCCCTTCAGCGGAAAGACAACAGCACTGAATACACTGCAGAAGGCGCTCACAGATCTGGCGCAGGACGCAGAGATGTGTGGGGTGCCTGAAAGAATACAAATGATGTGGAATGAACATCGGCGCTTTCCATTTAAACTATCTTTGTTTATACAACTATACTGAGTGATTCCACCCTTCTATGTTTCATGCTTCCAGGCTATTTTTCCTTTTCTGACAATTCTTTGGAGCAACCTGTATAAGTTTCGTCGACCACCTGGAACCAGGAGGGTAGCATGCATGCTGGCTGCATTGTACACCAAGCCGGAACCCGAGGGACTTTGCTTTGCGTTGGACTCTTCGCATGGTGGAAGATGAGGCTCGATTGAATCCAAAGTCCATCCCAGCACGAGACCTCTACGGATGCTTCGAAGAGGCGGATGCTTTGAAGAGATGGCCGTTGATTTTCACGACAATGGCTTTTTATCAATATTTTTGACTTAGTTGATCCAAATCGTTCAATTGAAGATGGTAGCTGATTGATGCTGGAAGTTTGTATCATTCTATGCCCACATCCAGATCTTGCCAGGTGTCAAGAGAGTGGGTTGATGGCATTGTGGCTGTCCTGTTCCGGGAATTTGCACGGAATCAGACTGAGGAGAGTTCTGCATTGTATGACCCGCGGCATCCCGCGGCCAAAATCGTTTTTGCGATGTTATCCACAAATGATCGAACAACAAAAATCCTGCTACGTGTGCTACTTGGACAACCACTCAGTTCATAGTGTAAAGATGTGTAAAGCATTATTCCTAAACAGCCAACATATAAGATATATACTTCAAGAACCCTAAAGTTTACGCTTCTTACTCTGTTCCAACATGACACTTGCGGTCTACAGCGGATCGGATTGTCACGTCCATTTTGCCTGGCAGGTACGGCACGGTCAGATTTCCACACCCGTTTAACTTTGTAATATGTATAAGGCTTTCAGGGGTGAAATCTGACCGCAACTTAGGTGTCGACATGTTGCACGTAGGATTCTAGGGGGAAAGGGTTTGTCCCGTTATAGAAGACAAGAAGCGCAACTTTCGGTACCCCAGTGTATATATATTATATATATCATAAGAGTTTTACCCCACCTGTGTCAGGAGAGAAAGTGGTTGGTCTTTGACGGTCCTGTCGATGCGGTGTGGATTGAGAACATGCGACTGGGTCGATCAATCGGTTTTGTGTTTCATTAGCGCACTACTAGGCTAGGAGTAAGTCTTGATCATGAGTACTGCTACCGCACCGCACCTCATTGAATCTCTCCATTGATTGCGAGTTGACACTTTGGGGACATACCATTAGTGCCGTGATGTACCATGATGATCCATGATGTACACCTACAGAACGGACTACAGTTTCAATTTTGTGGATTTTGTTGGCTGGAGGTCATTGTATAGTTCGATCTCAGGAATACGGTCATGGACGAGAACAAGAAGTTGTGCCTCAACAGTGGTGAGATTATTGCAACTGGCCTGCAAATCAAGCCTGTCAAGTCTGCTAAATTCAGAGTCTATCCTCAGCTGGACAGTTGGACTAGAAGTCCTACTTCATTTGCTGACATCGAACATGGATGCTTCAGGCCATGTCTGCCAACATGCGCACCATCATCGAACCCATGGCGCCTTGGCTTTTCGACCGGCTCTAACCACGACCCGTCTCCGACCGACGAATCGGCTCGGCTCCGAAGGATGTGGAGGTCGCATCGCCGGCCACGATCTCGCGCAATGGCATGGCCAAGAGCTGAGAAGGCGAAGCAGGTGGGCGGGACAGGCGGCCGTGAACGGCGGCGTGGACTGAACAAGATGGAAAAGATGCAACAACCTTCCTGTCCTTGAAGAAACAGTCAGTCAAACCGGCTCAGGTCTTCTTTGAGCCTCATTTGATGGGCTATCAGCACCTCATTGTTGCAGCCTTACCCAGAAAGGAGGTTGTTGGGGTGAAGTGGATGTCTTTGTTTTGCATCACCCCGCTTGCCCTGCGATCCAGCACCGCTGGGTCCGGTGTTGTGAGGACAAGACCCTCAAAGGAGGCCTTCCTAAGGACCGGTGAGACAGTCAGAAGACTTGAGAAGAAGTCCCACTCCTGAGGTGTCTTTGAGTTCCGTTGTTCGACATGTTCATTTAAGAACAAAAAGACATCCGGCATTGTGTCCAGCTTTCATGCGTGCATGTCAGGAGATGGAGGAAGCTGAGCGTTCAGCTATTGCCAGCATGATAGACTTCCTGGTACGCCAAGGATGTTTTTGTGAAACACAGGGACTTGACACAGGAAGCCATGCCGCACGATCAGGGTTGGGTTTTCGTTGGGCTGACTTGCAGGTGAATCAAGTCTTCGTTGATCCTGATGTATTCTGACCCATGCTATATAATTAATTGATAATTGCATAATACACATTGATATAGATCTTATAATAGTTCTTATAAATATATATATATATGATATATATTTATATGGAAGCACACACTTGTGGCTGTTCTGTCTTCATGTGGTGTAAAACATCGGCGATGCATGCGGATCGCCACAGGTCCCGCCACTGATCGCGTATGTTCAGAAGGCATGCAGAACAGTGCCCAACCCAGTTGAAGGTGGAGATGCACAATTCGCGTGTGCTTGAATCCTTGAACATGTATAAGAAGAAGTAGAAGAACAGTATACGTTTGAGGCCACAGAATAAGTCGACAAAGATGGTTGGGTCCATTCCCATCTTTGATGCAAACCATGTCAAGTCATACAGTCACACTGCCAAAACACAAAGAGAAAACAGTTGCAACCGATGTGTCCTGGAACCCATGTCGAACTTCTGACCCGAATCACGATTTCGTCGTGAAACCGTGAAACTAAGCTTGCTTCAGGTCTCTCCGGTACAAGAGCAGAACTTGGTGCAAAGCTTCCTGCAACTTCTCACCACAAAGTTGCAGACTGGCTACAAGGACGGCATTTTTGTGTCACATAAAAAAGGTTATGATTACTGTATATCAGCTAGGACACAAAGCTTCCTTAGACCTAGAAGATTCAATGCAGACATGCCTCTGGGACTACATCGAGCCAGTGTGTTTGCCGGAGAGTGATGGCTCAAGTTTGCCCCTGATCTGCTGTGTGCACGTACGAGGATCCCAACATGAGCCGCGAGGCAGTCGATCCCAAAGCCATCATCACAATGATCGATTGCTCAAGCCTCAGCCATGCTGAACTGCTGAACCAAAGAATCTTCGGTTCTTTTATATACGTTATTTTTGAATTGCCGACGCATCGGCCATGAGTGCATTCATAGATTTGTTATTGTTTGGGTTGTGGTGTTTTTTTGAAGAGATTGCCGCACAGAGGGGCACAAAACACATATGTAATAGTCCGTGGAAGTTCCTGATTGCTGGGTCCTGGGTATGGGGTGGGCATATCACACACACACACATGCATGAAGCTGGACACCTCAAGCACAGAAAACCTTTCTGATTCTTGCTCCCAGGCTACGCTATTTGGTCTGCTATTTGGGGCATTGGAGCTGCATGCGAGTGCTGCCAACACGAGTTGGCCCAACCGATCAGCGGTGTGACACCCACAATCTGACACCTTATATAAATAAACTTCACAGAGGTTCAGTTTCAGAATTCAGACTATGTGAGACCTTCTCCCTTGAAGGCGTGAACAACAGTCCGGCGAACTGTCTTGAAGGGGAAAAGAGCGTCGCCAGGACCAACAGCCGCCCCATGTTTGGCAGCTTTCTCCGAAAGCTGCTCACGGGCCAGGCAGCTGGGCGGCAGCTCTCTCGGGACTCTCTTGAGAACTTGAGACGAATCTCATGAGACAGTGAGATACAGGACGAGATACCTTGCTGCTAGTTCAATGCAGTTGGATCTTCGAATCTTCGCATGAATTTCCCAGCTTTCAATCTCGCAGATCCTCGTGCTATCTCGTGCTTATATTCTTCATGGAAAATATGATGGACCAACTTCGCAGGAGTCTCCCAAGCCTCCCAAGAAGTTGGCAACTCAGTGGGCTTGGCAGCGCTCCGTGGGCTGTTCGCTGCTCGTGGCTTTGTTCGTTCGCAGCTCGGACCGGTCCGTGAAGCAACGGACGTGGACCCTGAGGATCCAGCCAAATCTGCCAGATCGCGGTTCGGTCTTTGACTATGTGGTGGACTTGAAGCAACCAGGCAAGGAGAAAGAGACATTGGCTGAATGAAACCAAACTCCACTAAGAATCTACTGTACTGATTATAGTTCTTATATGAACTTATCGATGGGTGCAATATGATACGGTCGCTCCTTTAATTAGGTGTTTGCAGCCAGTTGTGGCTCCTTTTCTTTGCAGTAAATCTTCTTGTCAGTTTGGCCCATGGTATCAATTTAATTCTGGCTTGGATAATTGCCTTTTGGAAGACACGATGAGCTTGTTTCTTTGTTTTCCTCTCTTTCGGGGATCATCATTTTGTTTCAATAAGTTTTGTAATACTTGGAAAATACATTAGACTATACTGTATTTGATTTGTTTTGTTGTGAGTGACAGGGCAACCGTGAGGTTGCCAGTTCAGTCACTGGTGGAGATTGAACCTCAGACTACTGGGGACCTCAGAGGCTTTGACAGGTAGCAAGGTGGAACATAGACACCACTCAACCTTGCTACCCAACAATTCACGAACCTGTTGACACCTCCTCACAGCCCTACTACGAGCCACCACCCAACCTCTCAATTCGCCGGATGGATGGGACACCGCGCGAAGTCATCCTGCAGGTTGGACCACCTGGATGGACACCGTGGAAGCGCAGAGCATCCCCAACTCCGCACAGGTGCAGAACATCATTGTGCAAACCGTGGACAATGCAGCGATCTCAGAGTGCTGGTTCGCTTGTTTCGATGTTCTTTCAATTTTTTTGCCCTTTAACGTCTTCTTACACTCAAAGCTGGCCTGTTGCTGACGTTTTCGGAAAGGGTTTCTCTTTCTCTGGCAGCTTTGGCTCTCCAAGAAACCAGCAAGTTCAGCAACACCCGAGGTTCGATACCGTCACCTTCTGGAGCATTGTGACTCGGTGGATTCGAGATCTCCCCCAAATCCAGAGCTGGTGATCCCTCCAAAACCTGACTCCCAGGACATTGCGATGCCCGGCCCTAGCTACTTGTAGCGTCCTTGCTACTAATAGCGATGCCAGGAGCGCCCCTAGTATAGCGTCCTTGCTCCGTTCGTCGCGATGCCCTTTGTTACTAGACATAGCTTAGACATGCTTGGACCTGATGGATTGCTTTGTGGCAGCCACCCTCCCCCCCACCAACGGGGAGTCTGCATGATCCGCCGAAAGAGACTGCAAGGTATCGAGCACCGCATGAAGCTCCTCTTTTGCGGTCCAACCGGCACTGGTGGGAAGCTGAGGCATCGAAAAGAGCTCGCAGTGTGCGAGTCGGTGCCGGTTTCAAGGGAATCAAAGCGGCGAGTCATATCTGGGCTAAGGCAAAACCGTCTACATGCAGCAGGCACATGCAGAAAAGATCTCGGATTTTGCCGCGATTCTGATGGTGTGTTTTTCGATCAAAGCCCGTCGCAGTCACGCGGAGGCCCTTATGGCAATGCCCAAAGAGACTCACATGTCCATCCAAATCGGCTTCTCAGCCCAGACCAAATGCTCGCAGACACAGGAGCAGACCAAATGGCGATCGACTTTCTATGACTTTCTTATGGTAATCGACTTAACGTCGATTTGTACATTGTTCCTTACGCCAGACTCCAGAGATCTCCAGTCTTTGTTCTTCTTCATTGCTTTTCTTTTAAGCATAAGCATGCCCTCAGCCATTTCAACATGTCTATACTTTCTTTCATCCATCTTCTGGAATGATGCTAACCAAGCTCGAGACGGAACACACTTGTCCTGTCCTCTTTGGTGTCCAGGATTTGGTGGATGCCAAATTGGAGCGGCGACGGAAAGGGGTCTACGGTCCACCCATGGGCCCCGGGCTCGGACGACGATCCACGGCGACGACGACTCTCCGAGTCCTTGCTCCGTTCGCTAGCGATGCCAGGAGCCCCTAGTAACTTCTTGTTACTAGTAGCTACTTGCTCCTAGTAGTACGGCCAGGAGCCCCCAGTAGCGTCCTTGCTCCTAGTAGCGATGCCCTTTGCTCCTAGTAGCTTTTTGTTCCTAGTAGCAAGGCCAGGAGCCCCGTTCGTAGCGTTTTTGTTCCTATCTTGGATCACAGCCACTGCATGCCACTGCTGAAAGCTCTGTGCTGTCATGTGAGGGCGAACCTGCGTGGTGATGGTGGACGATCTCAACATGCCAGTGAAGGCAGAGATGGTCTTTGGGGGGCGAAAAGTTCTTGGACAGACTGAAGGGGTGCAGGTCGAATGGCAGAGTACCACAGCTGAGTACTGAGTCCTGGCACCAGCAGCTTGACGATTTCACACTACTGGAGCGCTTGGGGGCAGGAGAAGTACGGCGCAATGCCGCCGATTGAGATCCTGCGACAGAGTATGGTGGTACACTCAGCAACCGGTGCATCCCACCATGCAAATGTGAAATTCAAAAGGGCAGACTATATCGCTTCACTCGCAACCATACAAGACCACACAAACTTGGCACGCTTCCCTTCAATAGCCTCAGCGGCGAGCTGACCATGTTTGATTCTCTTTTCGCTTCTCTCAGGATTCCACTGCATACGGGCCCACAGGTGGCTGGTTTGACCGCAAGGACGGTGTGTGAGTCTGTGTCGCACGGTCCCAGCTGGCGTTTTCCTGAGGTTCCATTCAAGCGCTGTCCCAGTTGGCTTGCAATCCAACCTAGTAGCGATGGCCTCCACCGTGCGTAGCTTCTTGTGACGTCCGTAGCGATGGCCTCCAACCTACTGGCTTGCTCTTCCAGTGATTCTTTTGGGCGCAGTCCCAGTGACATCGCCAGGACGCGACCCATCCGTTCCGCAGCATTATCGATGTGCCCTCCTCAGCTGGTCGATGCTCCGGGGGTGGCCCTGGTGGTTACAAGTGAATGGAATACTCACAAGAACATCAAGAACATCAAGCAGATAAGTCTCTAGAATTCTCTAGATGTTAGAAAAGAAGATGTTCGAAGGAATATTCACGCTGCGACCCACCGGGTGCTCACCTCTTCGGGTTTGCCAGGTGGTCTACTTCGCAGCGATGGGTCCGCCAGGAGGTGGACGCAACTTCATTACTCCCAGAGCTGGGAAGCCAAGAGACTCCGAAGCCTAGCTGCCTGGGGGCTATTGAATCCCAATTTCTGTCCGTCAAGAATGGCTTCCGCGTTCCTTCCGGCTTTTTGCTGTCACACCTTGATATAGTATCAGATAGATATCATTAGTATCATTGTATCACGGTGTGGAGTGCAGATGTGCGCAGATGGCACACGGGAGAAGAGGAAGGATCATGACTGATCAGACTGAGATTTTGGGCCACATGTACTTGGTGGGCTTCCCACTGCTGGATGATGACAACATGATGCGCCTCGGAAGAACCGTGGAAGGGTTGTTGGCTCCTTCCCTTTGAAGTGCTTTTGATGAATGATTGGCAGATATGGAAAGGATCAACAAAAACACGAAAGCACAAGATGTTGGCCATAGTGTAGGCCAGCACCAATAGCATCCGTTTTCTGTTTGCTTCAATTTGCGGCAGTGGATCCCATTTGCAGCTGCACTGAAGAGTTGGGCAATCCGTTTGGGTGTTACACAGAATAGCCCGAAACACGGAACAGGACTAAATCCATCAGTGGATGGTCTCTGCTGAGGCAGATCTTCAACACCGTCCTGGAGTGGAAATTCAGGGTCTGGAGCACAGCGACATCCGAAGAGGAAATGAGGAAGAGACCATCTCAATGCCTACTTCCCAGCTGGGTGGGACACGTGGTGGGACACGTGATTCCGCCAGGCAGAGAACTATCCGGCAGAAGTGGCTTCCCTCAGCAAGAAAATGGTGCAAGCGACCCTGGAAATCTACAAGAACACGTCCGGGCGCCCTATTACGCTGAGAGGGTATCCCTTCGTGGCTTCCCTCGAGAGTTGGTCTTCGATCGCGGCTGTCTCAGAGTGTTGCCGCATGTTGGGACGCAACAGCCCAGCAGCATGGATGCGTTGAAGCTTTTTTTGAGGTCTTTGCCACCCATCACTGTACCATCTCACTTCTTCACATCAGATTCATGGATATTCAATGATATTCATGGGATGTCTTCCTTGCTTCATTGATCCATCATTTGTTCCATGGTTCCTGTTTGGGTCGAACGGTTCACGTCTTTTCACCCGATCCACCCCGGGATCCTCCCGAGATCCACCGATGGATCGCCTTTCAGGTCCAACGAGCTAAGACCCACGCCAATGAAGGCCCACGCCAAAGAGGGACGAATCGAGAGGGCTCAAGTGTTATGTATATAATTGTCACTGGAATTGGTTTCCAGTGCCACTGGTTGCTTCCTCGCCCAAACAAAGGTTCCTAACCTAACTACCTAACCTAAAGAAAGGGATCCCACCCTTCCCACGGTAGGCGGGCCGCCGCCTTTTCCACCACTACCGTTGTCCTGCCATCAACCCTTGAGCCAAACACATTGGTTGGCGTGATCTCGAATCCATGGTTGCTCATTCGAAGGTGACATGTCGAAGGCTTTCCCTGGTGTTCGATTCACATTCATTCTGTTTTCTTTTCGAATGAGACTCCTCAAAGGACTCAATCCATCGTGTGCTGAATTTTCGATTCGGACTGCTCTTTAGAGTGCTATCATCATCATAGATTCGAAACTTTCCAAGCATAAGAACCTTACGAAGAAATGCTGCATCCATTGGCTTCGTTAAACAGTCCGCCAACATTATTGCTGTCGATATCCATCGGCATTCTGTTGTTTCCGAGGATTGTTGTTTGATCAACATAACTTCAATCGTGGTTCTCCATTCTTGACAATTTGGGGTTGCCATCTTATTCACCAAATCATATAAGCTTTTGCAATCTGTGATTAGGAGAGCCTTTGGTTCACCTCGTAGCGAAATTTCAGGCTTTTGCCATTGAAATCTTCCATCCTTAATATATGCCCACATGCATCGCAACCACGTGAGCTTGTCCAATGATGAGGACATTGCATAAGCCTCGGCACTTAAGGTGGATCTGACTACCCTGCTAATCTGTTTAGAATGCCAAGCTAGAGGTGAAATGTCCGAGATTTTGTTTTCTCCGAGATCCTTTGTGCATGCTGTTATGAATACACCTTGCTGTGCCCTCAGCTGTGATTCCGATGCAAAACTCGCGTCCCCGAAGCTGGCAAAGGTTAGCTGGTTCATTCTAATGGGTTGGACTAAGATTGCTGTATTGGCTGTCTCCTTCGCTTCTCTTAGTACCTTGTTTCCTTCTAGAAGATCTTGTACTCTTGCTTTGCAAATCTTCTTTTGTAAGAATGCTACTTTTGCCATCATATCTGGGCGTGAATGCACCGCTGCGTACTGCATGCTTCCGCACAGGGCTCGAAGCTGATGTAATTCTGCTTGGGTTACTTCTGCCTCTGGTTCTTTTCGTCGAATCTTTGGAACATCAATTTGTTCAATTTGATGGATATAGTCTTCTTGATCAATCTTTATCGAAAAGTCGGCTCTCTGCTCAATGGTAACTGTGAATTTGAATTTGGTGTACTCTCGGTTTCCGAAAGGCAGATGTTTTTCTACCCTGGCTAATGCCTGCTCGAATCGCTGATTGCCCCCTCCAACCCCGTCATCTACATGAGTTCCTAAGATTCCATCTAATTTGCTTGGATCTTCACGGTCTCTCAAGAGAAAAATGCAATTATCTAATGGGTGTGCTTCGAAACCCTCTGCTTCCAGCCTGCGACGGAATTCCTTGTAGAAGAGTAGTGGAGCATCCACTCTTCCATATGCATTTCCTCGTAGTAGAAGCACATGTTCATTAGACAGTTGCAACAATTCTTTGAATTCCTGGACTGGTTGCATAGCTAGTTCTCTATCATCCGACTTGCCCCTCAAAAAGGCAGTTTTGATGTCAAATGATTGAACCTGCCAATGTAATGAACTCACTGTCTGTAATATCATCATCCTACCATCTCGGGAAAGTGTGGGACTTTCTGTAGAGACTATCCCTACTTCGGGATCTTGGAATCCTCGAATTACTAACCTGGCCTTGGGCTTTCGCCCAGTTGGTGATGTCAAGTCTTCTTTCCAAGTCAAAACCCATTTTGAAGACATGATACGGCTGGGATGAATCCGGCTTCTAAGCAAAGGTTCCACTGTTTGCGTCTCAATCCAGCAATTTAATTCCTTTCTCTTAGCCTGGTCGAACTGCTTCTTTTCGGCTTCCGTGAGGTTCCTGTATTGGACTTCGGTGTGGGTTTTCTTTACTGCTTTATTCAATGCTTCTGCATGAAAGCTGGGACATTTACAAAATTTTTCCAATCTTTTCATCGGAACTATGACCTCAAATTTACACACTTGAGCTTGTGCTTCATCGGTGGATTCATTACTCCAAAGAGTACCCCTATCCTCGATGATTGCTTCCCCTGAATTAACCCCTTCAACTATCAATGCATTGTACACTGTCGAATCCCCTACTGATTCAAGTGTCGGTTCAACCCCTTCAGGATTTTCGGTCGGTGTATAGTCTTCTCTGAGTTCCTCATCGGCTGTGGGGTCAATCACTGGGATGAGGCTGGCATCTAGTCCGGGCGGCTGCTCAATTTGGGAACCTGTGCATGAGTTCCTACGAACTGGCTCTTCTTCTGGCTGGCCTGCTCGCGGTTCCTCTGCTTCGGCTGGCTCGATTGGTCGATCGTCGGCTTGATCAGTTAGATCTGAAAACTGGAACATACCGCTCCTTTCTTTCAGCTGTTCTTTCAAGCGATTTGCCATGGCTTGGAGTTTCTGTTGACTATCGGTTTGGCTGAATCCATGATGGTTCTGAAACTCCCTCAGTGATACCGATCTCATATTTTCCCTTGCTACTCGAAGAAGTCGATTTAGGTGAGTTACCCAAATGATTGTGCGTGACTCGTTCATGATGACTTGACAGGGTCCAACCCATCGACCTTTCTCTAGCATGTTCGGAGCTTTGCGACGATCCCAAATCATGCACAGCTCTCCGCATTTCCAGTCGTGTTCACGACCTCTTGATTGCCTAAGCAATGCTCTTCGAATTGCGCTGGAGTTGTCTGCATCAAGGAGTGCTTTTCGGGCTTCAGTACGAATTGACATCTTTTTCTGGAAGAGGTCGGACTGGGTTTCTTCACTTTCTTCCAACGAATGAGTGATTGTTGATTCATCACTGCATACTGATCCCGGTAATCTCCTTGCTCGACCTAGGACTGCTTGCTCTGGACTAAACCCTTTTGCTACATGCTGTTTTTGGCCTGGAAACATTGTTCAAGAGCATAGTCAAAGTCCTTATCGCTTTTAATCGGGGTGTGATTATCTATTCTGCTTAGCATCTCTTTCACTGTTCCTCCATGTCTTTCTATGCGACCCCTTTGCCATGGTGCTGCTGATGTCACGGACTGAATCCCTTCCTGTTGCAACATGTCTTTCCAATGTTGACTGACGAATTCTCCTGCTAAGTCGTGAACGATAACTTGTGGGGGTCCGGCCCAGTGCATCCATGTTTCTCGAATGACCCTTTCTGCTTCTTCTGTCCCCCTCTGGCACCTCCTTCCTAAATGGAAATGAGTAGCTTCGTCAAAGACATGAATCACATAAAACTTGGTTCCATCACTGTTCTTCCATTCAAAGCCGTCTAGGGTTATCACTTCATTAAACTCCTTGGGCTCTTTCAGTTTTCCAGGGGATGCCAGTTTTGGTGGAACCCTCTCAGAACATGACTGGCACAGAAAGTCTCCTGCTCCATCTACTACCTCTTGTGTAAACCCCAACTTCTTTAGATGCATAGCAAGTTTTTCTGCTGTCGGATGTCCTAAGTTGTTATGCATTCGTTGAATCAATGACCTTTGAAAGCTATCTAATGCCAAGTACTTGGGACCTGGATTACTTGATGCTTGGGGTGACCATGCCGGGACCTCGACGGGTGGTCCCTGGCTTTCGGCTCGAATTTGCTCAACCTCTTGGCTGACTTTGGAACTCGGCTCAACGGGCGCTGGCTCAATCGCAAATGGTGGAGGGACTGCTGCCTCTGATTCTCCGGATCGAACGGGGTCGAGCTTCCTGCCTTCTGGCTCTTCGTGAACCATGGTTCCAAACATGCATATCATTATATGACTCGGCATGGCTGTTCTTCTCTGATTCCTTAGTGTTTGCTTTGTCCAATTTTCTTCTCCTAGATCGAAAACTTGTTTTGTCTTTCTGCATTGGCATATCGTTTTCCTCATCTCTGATGACGTTTGGCTTGTTAGATATCTATCCATACCTTTTCCTGCTTGAATTTGTTTCACTTCGAAGCTGCATAGGCTTGCTAGGTAACTACCTGGCCATTCTTGCAGGGAGATCTCAACGGATCCGGACTTAGGCAGTTTCTTCTGCATCCAATCGAAAACTTCCTCCCAGACAGGATCAGTCAATTCGACTCTTTCTGTATCCTCGGGAGCTGCCTTTCTTTTGGGCTCACGTGGTGACGAAATGCGTGCACGCTTTGCAGGCTGTTCCTCACCTTCTGCGGGAAACAATTCACATAAGTCCTCTTCCGAGATTAAAGGAATTTGTGATTTCCCCTTTTCCTGCAGAATGCTCTTGGCTGCTGCTCTAGCAAAAATCTTTGGGTAGAATGCTGCAAACCGAGACAATGCCATGCGACTGCCGTGGACTTTGCATGACCCTGCTATTTGCGAATGCTCGTGCTCTTTGGTGCAGAACCTACCGTCTAGGCTTCTCACTACACTGTTTGATGTGGTTTGGAGTCTTGTGTATTTCTTCAATGGACGATGATCTTCTGGATGAATCAAACCAAACCTACATTGATCTAGGCTGGCTGTCTTGGTTAATGCCAATATGTCTTTTATCTCCGGCTGGTTCCACATGTCTGACGTGCCTGGGTTCTCCATAGTGAAATGCCGATGGTGGTAGACTTGGATTTTGCATAGCAATGAACAGAGTTCTAGATGTTGCTTGGAAAGTTCACGTCTGTTGGATTTTCTCATAGCCCTTTATGCTTCGGCTTGCATTGAAACGATTCCAAGCGCACCACGGGTGGCACTCTGGAGCTACCCAAATGTTCTTAGGTCGCAGCCTAAAAATCATTCGAAGCAATTGCATCTGGCCTTCAAAAGTTGACAAGTCTCCATGCTCGATGGTGAATCTTTCTGCCCTCCCCCCTTGTCGAATCACTTCTTCAGACAAACGACTGTTGGGTTGCGCATATACTTCTAACAAGTCAACCTGCTTACCAAATGCTTTGTGGTTGGTTTCGGCTCGGATGGCTTTCAGCAATTTGGCTTCGAATTCCGTCTCAACTACTATTTGAGTACCCATGGCCAAAACCTCCCACTCTAGAACCCCTGGCTCTGATGCAATTGTTCCTCCATCTGGCGGCGAGTTTGGCAATAACGAGCGAAATCTGCGATTGGTGCATCCAATGAATTGATCCGGCTCAGGCACCATTGGACATACTGGCTGTCCACTTCGTACACCAGGGCGAATGTCTTGCCGGGGTGCTTCTTTCCCCAAGTCACCTTCTTTTGGCCCCATTGATCCATTGCTGTGGCCGTCCATGCCAGACTTTGCCCTTGAATCTGTGGATGGGTTGTCGACTCGTCTTCGATCGGCTGGCGGTTCATTCGCAATGGGCTTCCAGGAGCCGTGGGTCCAACCAGACTTGCTACCCACTGTGTTGGCGTCGATGACGAAGGAAGGCTTCCCTTTCCGGCTGCACTCGACTTGACCTTCTGCTGAGGCGTCGTTGGTGCCTGGGATTTCATGGTTGCGGCTGATGATCTGCCACTCGTAATCGGAGGTGGCATCGGTTGCTGGAAAACACGAACTTCCTGATCCCAGACTTCCAAATCGCTTTCTGAAAGGATCACGAGGCCGTCTTCGGTCTTTCGCGGTGACATGTTCTGCTTCATCATGAATGCCAGTTCTTCGATCTTCTCCTTTTGCGACTGGACTTCGGTCAGAAGTTCGTTCATCATCACCGCTTGGTCCTGCGGGACCTCTTGCTCTGACACCTGAGTTGCCACCTGGTTGAGGAGGATGGCTAGGAGGGTCTTGAGGCTCTGCATCACGTTCTCCGCAATCGATTTCACCATGCTCATCATGTCTCCGCGAGTTGGCATCGCTCAGACAATCTAGTGAACTTACTCGCTTTTCACAACTCGCACCAAAAATGCTCTCGACATTCGGCTCTGGATTACACAGATCTTGCATTCGAATCATGAGGAGCCCGGTTTTGGCTTCATGCAGTGGGATGTTTCTATTTAGTGCTTTCAAATGACATGAACTCTTTTGCAAATCAATCACTGCACCTAGCTGCCTCATAGTCTGAATCGAAAGCAGGAACGGGGTGGCCTTTGGAACAACCTCTACAATCAACCACATTCGAGTCTTTCGAAATTCGATCGGAATATGGATCTGCTTATAGCTATATTCTATCTGGTTGTTTCCGAATCGAAATGCGACTCTGCTTGCACGATCTTTCACTCGATCTCGGACGGTGATCGGCAGTTGTCCAAGGAGCATCGGAAGGTTGTCTTCACCGATTACGCTCCGGCTGGCACCTGTGTCTAAAATTGCCACGCCGTTCGTTCGAAAGCCGAGGGACTCTCCGGATTTACTGGTGAGCCCAGTGGCGAGCAAAGGCTTTTGCTGCATCGGCTGAGGATTGTGCTTCCTGACGATCAAATCAAACACTCGGTTTCGTTTGGCGAAAAATGTTTGAGTCTGCTTAATTACCTCTTCTGCAAATAATGCTTCAACGATTGGCTCTGGCTCGAAATGCTTTGGTTCGGCAAAACACATATGGCTTTTGGATTTGAACCCAATCCCAAACCCGACCTCGGCTTCAGAATCAATCTCTTCGAAAAGCACTTGTGCAGCTGCCTCATTCTCTTCCATCTCATGAGAAGCTGAAGCTACGTTGGCCTGGCTTTCTTTCAGGCGTTGAGGACATTCCGCCTTCCAGTGGCCAAGCTCTCCACATCGCTTGCAGTGGGTACGAGCAATCCTGTTCAGCAGCTCATCTTTTCCTTTCGAACCACCTTTTCTGAATCCCTTGGGCCCAAAAGAACTAGACCCTTTTCCAGATTTGCTCAAGCCTTTGATCGGCCAGAATCCACGATTGCGCTTGCGCTCCACAATGCGGCCACGGGCCTCTTGGTAGCTCAGCAAAGCTTGATGAAGATCTGGAATTTCTTGGAAAAGTTCTGTCAACTCCTTCTCAAATCCTTGAACTGTCAGTGCATCGGCATCTCCTGTCGTTGCCAACTGTTCCAACAATTCTGTAGGGACTTCGTCATCTTCTCCTTGGGCTGCATACAGACTCTGATCGGTACCAAAATGGTCTACCGAATCTCCGGGTGAGTCTTGTGGATCCTCAACGTAGTTTGTTGGGTAGACTTTCTTTTTCTCTTGCAATGAACCAGTGAGAACACTTGTTGAAAGGCTTCGCATGGCCTTTTCAATTGCTCGTTCATCAAATGCTCCGTTGGTCATAGTCAAAACTTTCTTCTTGTCCTCATGCCCCAAATTGCTCTGCTTCAGCAACACAAAGGCCTTGATGGCCTTCAGAGTGGTTTCAGGGCCTACATCTTCAAAGGCCACGTCCAACCTGTTGACAAATGACTGAGTGCTTTCATCACTCTTCTGGGTAGTCCTGTAGATTGCTTTGTCAAAAAGCTCGAACGTGTTCAGCTCGGCGCTCTCTTCCCACGATGCCAATGCGGCCAGCAGGCTTCTTACTCCTGTATCAGGATTGGTCAGTTGATCGGCCTTGATCGATCGAACCTGGTGCCACGCTGTACCCTTGCATAACATCGCTAAACGAGGTGCCAGCATATTGCGATCTTTCTTTGGGCATATGCCATCAACAAATTTCACCTTTGCAACATACTCCTTGATGTCGTCTTGGCTGGGGTCGAAACTCGGCAGTAATGACCAGATCGCAGAATTCTTTTCTTCGGATCCCATGGCTTGCTAGCGTCCTACACTAGGCCAACCTGGGCTCCGCTACCAATGTCACTGGAATTGGTTTCCAGTGCCACTGGTTGCTTCCTCGCCCAAACAAAGGTTCCTAACCTAACTACCTAACCTAAAGAAAGGGATCCCACCCTTCCCACGGTAGGCGGGCCGCCGCCTTTTCCACCACTACCGTTGTCCTGCCATCAACCCTTGAGCCAAACACATTGGTTGGCGTGATCTCGAATCCATGGTTGCTCATTCGAAGGTGACATGTCGAAGGCTTTCCCTGGTGTTCGATTCACATATAATTGTATATATATATATCATATCTGTAGTTGTATTTTGAACAGCCTCAGAGGCTGTTTCCAATATTGGAGTCAAATGGTTTTGATTGATGTTGATGCTCCTTTATATAGAGAACATAGATCAATGTTAAGAGTCCCTTCAGGCTTGATTTCTCTGAGATGGGGCGCCCCATCAGTTCAATATGATCTGTGAAAAGTCATGGAACGTGCCTGCGCGCCCTCGACAAGAGAGTGGGATGCAGCAGGTTGCAAGGGTGTTGTCATCTCCACCACATCAGAGGAATGGGACTTTTTGGGTGATCTGAGAAGGTGCAGCATTGCTTATTTTGTCCCAATGCATGTTCATGTTCTGAGCAAATATGGGAAGAACTGACGTTGGATGACGCGCAGAAGGCGATCCGATCTTCTCAGACGACCATCTCTGCAAGGAGGATCGGACGAGTGTTGGTTCCTCGATCGATCGGATCGGCAGGTGCACTACACTTTCAATCTGCGAGACTTCTCCAAGGTGATTTGTGGCGTTGGAGCCCCGGAGTGGCGTTGGTGTGTTCTTTTTGTGCCGGAGGAAGAATATACCGGCATCCTGCGGCGATAGTCGGAGAGGCCATGCTAAAGCAGTTCTAGTCTATGGTCATATCTAAAACACTAGCCCACCATGCTATATCTCTGATCCTACCGTACAATCACCTACAGTAGTCATCCAGATGCTCCAAACTTCTGAATCTCTCAGGTGCTTTTGCTCAAGAAGAATGAATGTGACGGCCGTTTGGCTTTGACTTTGGGCCAATCTTTGGGGAGGAGAAGTTGAGATAGTTGAGCATTTAGTCCTCAGGGAGCTCAAGAGAGCAAAGATAAACCAGGAGACAATTCTCACCCATACTACTCCCAAGTGTATCATAGTGTAGTTGCAGAGCTGCAGAAAGTTGCCAATGCAGATCATGGGTAGAGATTCAATGAGATTCATAGCTTGAGTCTTCGGTTGATGGAAGCTTCCAAGTTCAGTAAACACGTGCAACCACTGTGCATAGTAGCTTCTGGTTACTAGTAGTAAGGCCGGGAGTGCCCCTAGTAGCGTCCTTGCTCCTAGTAGCGATGCCCTTTGTTATTAGTAGCGATGCCCGGTGAAGCTTTGTCGAGGGTCACCTGACTAAGGTGCCAGCCGCCACGTTCGACTATGGGCACACGACGCTCGGGTATGCAAGCAGATGCAAGCAGTCTCATTGTTCGGGCGGCCCCTGGGGGGTCCACTGACCAAATTTTGGCCGAGAATTCATGAGGCTCTTTAACGATCTTTAATGTAATTTAATGTAATTACAAAAGAACATAACCCACACATATTACATACTATAATATATTATATATTTATACATATGATCATACATGTCACACATTTCATGTGACCGTAGTTGCTTCTATTCAATTAAAAGTCCAATCCTGTCTCTCTTGTTTCGACCGTGGCGACCGCGATCCGACCGTGGCGACCCGGCCGTCTGCAGGAAATCCTTCGGGTCTTCGGGGACCGGCTGATCGACGACCACGACCGAGAGTGGATGATGCCACTTGGGTCGCCAAAGCATCAGTCGAGCTTGGGGATCTATAAGCCTTGTTAGGGGATCTATAGCCATCCGCATCTATAAACGTCCTTGATTTAGAACAGGATACAAAATGATTTGGAAAAGGGGTTGGACTGGAGATCACTGATGTCGGGAGACAGATTGATAATATATATTTAGTCTAGAGGAAGATGGGCTCATGTCTCCTTTCTCACATATGTGGCATTTGGATTGAGGCATCAATTGCGAGAGCAGACCAAAAAGAACTTTCAGGCTGGACTTCTATCAGAACTTGCCATAAACCAGAATAGTATTTCAAAAATGAGGTTGTGGCATGCTAGACGGTCTTGAGTCTTGATCTAGAAAGGTGTGGTCGTTGCAAGCAGGTCTCGTTCGATGAGATTATGATCCACTTGGATACCAACAAGGATGGCAAGGCCGGAGCAAACAGATAGTTTTGCATAAACCATGCATATCATTTACTGTACATTTTGGACTGACTTGAACAGACTGGGTGCCTCAAGTCAGAGCGCTTCTTTTCGTGTCCTAGAACATGTCGGGAGTGCCACAAATCCTTGGCCCAAGCCCTTGCTGCCTTTCAACAATCTTAGACACCTTGGCATTCTCGTGATTCCAATATGGCTCTTCCCATGAAAAAGTCCGTGATGAAGTCTATGAAGTCTATGAAGAAGACAGCAAAGTCGACCGCTATGAAGGCCAAAGTCATGAAGAAGAAGGCCGTGAGCAAGATTGCACGAGGCAAGCTGGCCAAAGCTGTAGTCTTTAGTGGCAACAAGGAAAAGACTGCATCGGGGCATGCCAAATCGGACCTCATGAAGAACAAGCGAGGCAAGATCGTGACAAAGTTGCAGAATGCCGCGGGCAAGAAGGCCTACAAAAACATCTCTGCCTGGACCGTTGCTTGTCAGAAGGCCAGGAAGGAGCTGGGCATCAAGGGCTTCTGTGCTGTGGGTGGAAAGACAGCTCAGGGCAAGGCACTCTACGCGAAGGCGAAGGCAATCTTCGCCGCATAGTTCGGAGTGGCCGAAACGAGACCAGGCGGATTCACTCCTGCACTTGCGTGGTAGTTCACGGAGCCAAGGAGTGCCCGCCAGTGATGGAGTTTGCCTGAGCCCAATCTGTATAGCTTTTCTGGGCTCTGACACAGGACCAAGCTGCAGACAGATGAGTGCGCTTTGTTGCCAGTGGGAAAAGTTTTATGGCTAAAGGCTGCAAGCTTTCCAGCACAAGATGTTGACAAAGATGATCATTGATGAGTTGTCATTTTGACCAAATTTTCTATAGGTCCCAGCTTTAAGCAGCATGTTTTTGTTTGCAAGAGTATCCCCAGATTCCTCGCAGGTGAATACGCTGGACGAGGCGAGGTGACGCTGCAGGAGCTGTTTTGGAGAAACATGTTGACGGAGGAATTGTTGTTCTGTAGAAATGTTTGGATTAGACGAGGACTATGGGACTCTTCAATCTATATTCCAGGGCTGTAGGTATCACTTTGCCAGCGTGTAAAAGATCATCACCCTATACACACTCATACAGACCATCAAGTGGAGACACGTGGCCTGGCAAGCAACGCAGCTGATTCCCACCACCCACTTGACCACTGAGTCCTTCACTGAGTCACACACAGGTGCGCACGCTCTTCTTCGGCGACATGCTGTCGCCTGCCTCTATCCCACAGCGACCATACACTGAGTGCGGTGCCCAGATCCAACTTCCTTGGTGCCCCGGTCTCTGCCATAAACACCTGTTTGGTCTTCAATCTTTTTTCTGTTGGGGATGTCAATGTTTGAGCCACACCAGGAACCATTAGTCTTTTTAGAATTTGTTGCTCATGTGCGGGTTCAAGGTGGACTGACATAGCGGAAATATAGGCATGCCAACGCAGATGGAGAAAGCAGGATGATCTGCAGGATAAGAATAAATTGAAGCGACGCGTCGGGACATCAGAGCTTCTCTGAAGCCTTTGGCTTTGTACTGGCTCAAGAAGTGAAGACCTGCATGGAGCTGTGGCTTGGCTGAGCAATTGAAGCATCGAGGGTGAGGGGGAGAGTTCTTTAGCCAAACACCTACAGTACTGCCAAGATCTGGCAAGCACATGAGAACACATTGATCCAAACAATTGGATACAGTAGCAGAATTAAACAGCTGCTGTTGTTTCCCTATCGCATCCGATAGCCATGGCGACGTTTGTTGAGACTGGCAGGCTCGCAATTCACCAAGGATTGTGTTTGATGTTTAATGTTTCACAAGCATCCTTGAAAGGAAGATTGTGGCCGTGGGGAAGAACTACCGGAAACACATTGCGGAGATGGCGCAAATAGGCAAGGCTCCCCGGATGTGAATTCTGTTTTTTGGAGTCTGTGGTGTGTGCAAGGTAGGAAGGGGCCCGCTGAAGAGCATTTGTGAATAGCATAGCATATCATATCGATCAAGTGCAACACACCATAAAATGGTATGCCCGCTTATCTTGTGCACTTGCTTCCTACACTTGTCATGAATGTCACCTGGCCTTGCTGCAGCTGCGCAGGAAGCGCCAAGGATGAGAAGTTTTCAGCCGAAGCTCCCAAGGCTCCAGTGCTCTTCTTGAAGCCCACGACTTCGTATCTTCCAATGGGCACCTTGACAAGTCAAGGAGCAAACTGAGAAGGTAAAACAAGGCTGCCAATTGTCGTGAATAATGCAATGGGGCACCCTGACTGATGACATCCAGAGTTTCTCTTTTTCTTCCCATCAGCTCGTAGGTGGCTAAACGTCGCATGAAGGGTACAGTTGGTACTGTACAGATGTTGAGGTTCACTATCCTTCGTTTGTGTGTCATGGTGTTTCTTTTTCCACAAAGAGTTCTAACTTGACACGGAGATGCGTGTTTTTTTTCTTCAGGCACAAAACGGCTGAACCCCCTCAACTCCGTGTTGTTCTTCGTCCCCCCACTTCGCCCAAAAGGACGGTCAGCGGGGACGTGGCGGCTTCACCCCATCCACCTCAGGTGCAGGACCCATTTTGCTGCCCGTGGGCATTGGTCCCGTCCACCACGAGGCGAAGGGGTGGATTCTCACCACCCCCTGTGGGTCGCTTCGGCGAGTTGGGCGGTGTTGGGTCGGGGTGCTCCGTTTGGTGCTGGACTGGAGCCTGGACCGGTCAGTTTCAACCGGTGTGGGAAGAGGGTGAAGGGGTGAGGAAGGATTTGCCTGCCTCCATTTGGGCCTAGTCCAATCAAGCTCCATGCATCCATGGTGGCTGAACATGTACGTAGCATTCTCATCTTGGAATTTTCCGTCTGATTTTGTAAATCACAGAAAATAGCAGAAATCAACTTCCTTGAGTGTCTTTTTGCATTTCACCCTACAGGTCTGAGGCCCACCTTTTTAAGGGCTGCTGCACCCACAAAAGCCTAGGAAAGGACCCCACTGAAGGCCAACCTTTACGACTGTCATAGTCAGCATCAATGACACAAATTTGACACAACACATTTTTCATATAGTGAGATCTCACACATTTAATAAGTTTAATCGTTTATGTAGATAGATTATAAGTAACAATTAGAAGATCTTCAATGTGGTCAAGCTGGAAGTCTCCCAAAATGCAAAAGCCGAACCAGCGCTGTCGGCCTTCAGGTGGAGCTTGGCATCGTCATTGGAAAACGCTGCAAGCCGCTGGATCGCCTGAAAGATCGACATGGAAACACGACAGTCTTACGGCTTACGGATGGTGTTTCCAAGACAGAAAAAGACATTTCTTACATTAGATGTGTCTTTTTCACAGAAATCCATGGAAACGGTGTAACACGATGTTTCCAACATTGGATGCCATGTGGTGAAACAGTCCCATTGGATGCCATGATATTGGGGCGCTGGAGGACTGGACGTTGTTTTCAATGTGGTTTTCCCGAAGAGCGTGATGGCTCCCCCCAGCTAGAGCAACTTAAGCGATCCGCAGGCACTGTATCATCCCAATGATTGCAATGTTTGCTCAGCTGAGCTCATGCAACAACGGACTTGGTAATTGCAAGACCATGTTTTTGTTCCTCAAAGATAGAATGGGTCTGATTCACAATGAACAAACACCTGAAAAAAGGGGCTTTCTGCTTTCATTTATCCCCTTAAATTTGGATGGATTCTCCATGTTTCCTTCCTATCGACTGCACGCCGAGTGCCCACGACCGTCTCCTAGGCGTGTGCCTGAAGCAGCTGCGATGGAGGTGATCTCAGGCGGAGCTCTTTCGAAACGAGTCAGTTCTTTGGTCCTTTGGTCGGGCAGCCATCCACCGAACAGATACGGGTTGTTTCGTTAGAGACCAAGCAGATCTCTTCACAGCTGAAATCCTGCCGAGAAAAACTGGCTTCGTCTTTGTTCACCAAGCATGGCCTCCTGGCACAAAACCAGTTTCCCGCCCATCGGGGGAGGGGAAGTTCGTTCGCTTCGTTCGATCTTCGCGAACCGGGAGGTTTCCGCACTCGTTCTGCGCCATCTCTGCCAGGCTATTGCGTGGCATTGGACCTCACTGCACGAGATCTACAGACAGCAGCCAAAGACCGGGGCTTGCCCTGGTCAGTCCCCAAGGGCTATGAGCCATGGCTGATGTGGGAGAGGGACCTACCGTAGGGCAAAAAACATGTCCGCTGCATGTTGGGATTCACCGTTCAACCCATTGTCGGAGTCCCAACAATCTTCAGTCAGTCATTTTCTAGCAACAGTTGGATATGATATGAATCATTGTATTCTTCCCAGATGACTTCACTAGCTGTTGACCCTGTTGCTTAAGACTCATTGAGTATTTCTCCGGCTTCACCCTTGGGCCTTCGTCGACTCTTGACCAAGGACCATTTCACCCCTGTGGGGAAGTTCATTGACAAGCAGGACAGGGGTCCACGGTTGGGTTCGAACATGTTCGGATTGCTTGCCTGCCTGCCTGCCTGCCTGCTTGCTTGCTTGCTTGCTTGCTTGCTTGCTTGGATTGCTTGCATGATGTCGGTTGAATATGCAAAAAGTGCGATTCATGAAGCATGCTTCGGGGGACACAAGATATGTGAAAAAAGGATAACAAAAGGTGATTTCTTTCTTCTTCGCACTCAAGCTCTTGGGATCCTTCACATTGTCCAGGAGGTGCCCGATCCAACGAACCTGGAGCTCTTTTGCGAGGTGAACGGCCAGCAGCGGCAGAGGGGCCACACGGGTGACATGATTTTCAAACCTCCGCAGCTCATCGCGGAGATCAGCAAAGTCTTCACCTTGGAGCCCGGTGATCTCATCCTCACCGGCACACCTGAAGGAGTTGGCCCCATCGAGGCGAATCAAGGGTGAAGTTGGACCCAGAAAAAGGCTTACTTGAATGGAAAGGAGTTATTCTAGAGGAAAAAACAACGAACACCAATGGCAACATTGAGTTGAAGGGTTATATAAATCAAAACCGTCAACGACTTAACCAATAAACTCAAGTGGAGAGTCTGTGAAAGGAAGGGATGTGCATGTGTGGATCACAACACAACAACAATCGTTCGTCAACAGGACCTGGTGGACAAAGACTTTGAGTTATCACTTTCACAAGTTAAAGCTTGAATCCTAGGTCTCAATTTGCAATCCCAGTCAGGCGGGCGACAAGATTCGTGGCGGCATCACGGGCATCGCTGGGGCTGAAATCAACTTTGATGTGGCCATGGATGCTGAGTAGGAACGAGGAGTCATGGATGCTCGGCTTTCGGCTTCTCCTCCCTCCACGAGCGACGCGAGATGCGAGTCGCCCTCCAAACGTGTGGAGCGCATGACGTCGAGATGCAAGAAGAAGGATAAGTTGGATGGTTCCAGAGTGGCCAGCCTCCCACTTGGTACAAGCTGCAGAGTGAGAGGCGCTGTGAGAAAGAAGCACCTGGCAGAGCGAGTTTGATGAAGCACCGTGCGTTCGACGTACTGTTGATTCCAGTATATTCCAGTCACTGGGCGCTTCGTGTCTTGTTCGGTGCTAAGGTGTCCTGATGTAGCAGTGCTGCAGAAGGCAGGTCAATTGAGACTCCTGAGACGTCGATGTGGTCGCTAGTCCAGCAGCTAAGGCTGCGCAAGCAGCTTTGATAACACAAGCCACCCAACACTGGTTGATACTGTACACAGTGGACCCAACCGTATGGCCAGGAGATCGAAGCACATTTGGTGAGCTACAACGAGATGTCTTCCAAGCCCATGGACTTGGTGTGCTTCCTTTACATGCAGCGGGACTCAGCTGGTTGGTGTGAACAGGACGGAGGTCAACGCACCGACTTGAAGCACCTTCAGCCAATGACTGGATGAACGAATCAGGATAGTGGAAAATAACAGAACATTAATATGTATACTGTATAAATATGTTTGTATGCCAGCCTTGAAAGGAAAGTCCTAATAAGTGAAAGTCCTGATTGATCAGGTTGGAGCCGTTCAAAGTCCCGACTGATTGTACTCGTAGAATTGTGCCGTGTGCCTTCCATACCGATGGCGAGGTTGGAACACCTCGCACGCGTGGCTCGTGTCATCAAGAGCCCGGGTGGAAACGCCCTGCTGGTCGGGGGACCTAGCTCAGCTGAACAAAAAATACGGCAACAAATAGATGTGCTGCTAGATCCACCGGAAAACCGCAACACGTCGCGTTTGGTTTGTGTTTTTCTTACACGCCTTTGGTTCAACCAGTTAGAATTCTGCGATGATGTGAGATCAGATCCAATCTCCATTCAGATTCATGATGATTCAAGTTTTGCTTAGTTCCAATTCCTGGGGATTCAGCCATTCCTGGCAAAAAGCCATTCCACTTCCACCTCAGGTGGGCTTGGGCGGCTCGGGCCGACAGAGTTGCACCCGCTTGGTGTGGAGCCTCAGGTCGGTCGATACAGGTCGATGCGCTGTGGGAGACCCTGGGTCGATGGTCATGGCACCAGGAGGCTTCATATTTAATCCTTACTTATGCCTTATTAAAGTAAGATTACAATAAGCTTATCATTTGGTCTTACCAACGATAGTGACCGAGATTTACCAAGCTTTTTGAGTGGACTGGTCGGGTTTGAGGTGGGTCACGACCCATTCCCTTTCATGGGGTGATCGGTTAATGGTGTGGTCCATCTCTGATGCCATGGAGGACCATCAGGGACCTCATCCGATTCCATTAGAGGGAAGGTTGAAGCTAATTCAACCTGTTGACAGTCTCCATCTCGGGGCACTGAAGTAGCAATCTCAATGAGGCCTGCTACATGGCGGACTTTGCTGTCTTCCAAATCGAGATTGCCAAGGGCTATGATATGTCAGCATTCAGAGAGGACAGGCCTTTGGACCCACGGCGTGGCTAACCGCCCTCACTGCGTCACTATCAATCATAGGTGTGGAGGATGACGGTTCCAAGTTGATAGGTAATCCTTATACATTGTCATAATCTTTTGAGAAAGCAAAGCAGCAACGAGCACAACGGCACACCTCCATTTTTGCGTACGGTGAAACGGAAGGTTAAGTAATTGAATTGTCTTTTGTCAGCTTGCCAACTTGCCATTCATTCCTTTTTCAATCCTTTTTCATTCATTTTTGCTCCTTTTGTAACTTGAAGGCCTTGTGGCAACCAGTGCTGGGTGCCCCAAAGCGCTGCTTGATCCTGGTGGACCCGCGTCATCCCGCGTCCGTCATGGTGCAGGACATGAAGAAAATGCTGACAAAAGCCGGTGGAAGCGAGGAACGCACGATTTTCCTCTTCAGCGACACACAGATCAAGGCAGGGGCCTTGGTGCGCCTGCTTTCAACAATCACTGACAAAGGAAGGATATGGAATAGGCAGTGGAAGACCACTGGGATTTAGAAAAAGAACATCGCGACTAGTAGCTCCTGGCATTACAACTAGTATCTACTAGTAGCAAGAAGCTACTAGGAACAAGACACCTTACTACTAGGAACAAGAAGCCAGGGGCTGTATCGCACTTAAGCAATTAGCAAGTCGAGATACTATTCGTGGGATAGCTTTGGAAAGGAAACCTGGAAAAGATTCCCATAAAAATGACCGCAGGGCTTTTCCCTGGTGGTCTCACCACATCCTACTTCATTGCCTTTGCAGGATGAAGGCTTCGTGGAGGATGTGAACAATCTGCTGAACACAGGGGAGATTCCTAACCTCTTTCCTGCAGAGGAAGCTGATGCTGTGCCTTTTGAGACGGGAACCCACAGACAAAGTTTTGTCTCAGAAGGTCTTTGATCAACTCACTGGACTTTTCCCAACAGGATCACGGATGCAAGTAAGTATGTTGTTCACTTCAGGATGACAAGAAATGGATGACGTGTCATGACGTATCCTGGCATGTGGTGAAATGGACCTTGAACCTTCTGTTCTCGTGTGGTCAAACGAACTACGTTTGAACATGAATGTCGATGTCCTCAGGAGCGGGTTGCGGTCTGCGAGATGGTGCGCAAGGCGGCCGTGGATGAAGGGAAAGCTCCAGTGGCGTGCTCAGTGGCTACGAGTGGCCGCCGAGACAGACAGGTCGAGGATTTTTTGTACTCGTAGCTGTGAAGCTCCTGGGCCAGACGCCTTTGCGACGCCTTTGCTCTAGAGGTTTAAGGCATTTTAAGGCTAGGAGGTGCTTGTGGTATTTCAGTATTTCATGGGATTTCTTTCTGGCGAGAAGGGCATGAGCCATGTGAACATGTTGTGAAGCCATCTCTTCAAAGAAGGTTGCCTTTAGTTGGCATGCATTTGGCAGTCTTTTGCAGTGCTTCGCAAGAGGTTGGAGTCAACCGAGCTCAGCCAAGCTTAGAAGCTGCAGTTGCAAGTGCTTGTTGGGTCAGAAACGACGCTTGTTGTTGAGACTAAATGATGAGAGAGAAGTAAACCACACACCAATTTAACACTTGTTGGGTTTGAACGAACACCTCTCCAGAGACAGCAGAGACGGCTCTCCACGCTGGAAAGATGGTGTGCTCTCGGGCCGTCTGCTCCAATGGCCTTACCCGAGCTGTTGCTACGGTGCCTTTCGAGCGGGGATTCACGACAAGATGCGGAGATGCAAGTCTTGCAGCTGCAGAAGCAGGACTCTGTGACATGGCCAGAAGAGAGGGCCAAGGCGTATGCAGTGCCTTAGGCACTCGGTTGCTGGCTTCAAAGGCTATTGCTTGTTCCACTCGTAATAAGAATCGCTCTCAGCATAGCAATTGTTGGAATGCCAATGTTTCCCATCCACTAATTCGAGGAGGAGTGTTCTGGAAATTCAGATGAGACCACTCATTGCTCACTCTTGTTAGCCTGTCTCAGACCAAACATTTGCTGGACTAGAGGATGACTGCAAAGATGGTTGTGGCAAGTCGCAATGTACTTGTGATTCTGGGGTGGGGTCTATGTTCAACGAACGAGCTTTTGCTATTTGTTAATATTTGTGACTTGTTTTCCGAGGCTGGCCTTGCTTTAGCTTGTGCCCAGATATTGGGAGATGTGAACATGTCCATAGAGGCAGGACTAAAGACGATGGGGGTTCGGCCTAAACAAGATTTGCTCAATTCTGCTTGCCTTTTCATTTTCTGATCACAAACTCACAAACACAATCTCAAAACAGAGCCCTCATTGCCACCTCGATTCTCAAAATCAGTCACCAATTGTGATCTGAACAGCTCAAGCCTTGCTCTTCGTGGAGTTCTCGTCCTGTCCAGATCCGGCACTTGGCGGCCTGCCTCTTAAAGAACCAGCTGCCTGGTGTTGCCAGACCCGAGACGCTGTCGACACTGCAGATGGCCATTTTGCAGGAAGGACTGTGAGTGTCGTGGAGTCTACCGAGTCTACCTGCTGGGTATTTCCATCAGGAACTCTTTCTTTCCCTTTAAACAGCAGTGTCAAACCAGAATCTCAGAATCTCTCATCCAGCCGGAGCTTTGTTTGTTCTTTATTTCCCATCAATGTGATACATGTTTCCAATCCTTCACTCTGACTCTTCAACGGGTTGATCCGTTTTTTCTCCACTTCTTCTCACCTCTTCGACAAAACAGGTCCCACGTGTCGCCTTTCGGAGGCCTTCGAGTGCCTGCACCTTTGTCCCACCGCCGCGCTCTGTGCCGCGCGCCTCGCCACTCGTGGCAAGGCCTGGCCGCAGCTGGGGCCGCAGCTGCTGGCACTGGGGCAGCGAGGCCGCTTCCGTGCGTGGCCTTGCTGGCGTGAGGAGTTGGGAGTGGTGAGACACGGTGAGACCTGAGAAGAGCTTGGGTTGTTTTGGATGGTGGAGAGATGTTGGAAGCCGTGCTTTTGCTCGGATCTTCGGCTGCTCACCTGGATGAACTTGATGATTGATTTGAGCGAAAGAGTATGCTTCGATGGGGGAAGGAGTGGGGTATCAAGGTATTCAACCCAACTGCCCCAAAGACATCAACTCCTGTCCAGTTTCTCAACTCGAAATAACAAGCGCCTTTGTTCACGCAGTTATTGACTGTTCCATTTCAGCGCCTTTTGTTCACCAACTCTCAGCCGTCAGGCTTGGCTGAGGAAGCTTTAAAGGTCATGAGCATTCTCGCAGAGGAAGGCTACCACGACTCGGTGGAGGACATGACCGAGGTCCGGGGTGATCCACCGCGATGCATCCGCGATGCAGAGACCGTGGCGCTCGAAGAAGACAGGGATGGACGGATGGATTGTTTTGAGCGACGCTGTTTATATTTTAAGGGAGAAAGGACTAATGACAAAGTCGAGAGAATCTGGAGCCTTTAGAACATTTTAAAACATGGTCCTTTAGAACATGATTAGTGCGAGCGCTTCTTCAAGGAAGCGTATAGCTAGGAGCTTACTCCCTTACTTGATTAAGAACATGTCATGTCCAATGCCGGTCCAGGCTGCCTTGACATCACTGCGCTCGGGCACCTTGCCAATCCGCTTGGCTGCTTTGCAGGCGTGTCGTTTGTTGGATGGACTGGGATGATCGTCCCCGTTCATTTCGGTCTTCCTGGAATTGCTAGAAAATGGATGAACATGGTACTCATCTCATAGAAAAGATGCATGATTGATTCGATGGTGAATCTAGCATGGCGCAGCAAACACACCTAGTCCAGATACTATAAATGCCATACAACATGTCACACTGTTTGGAGTGCACAACTATGTTTCATGTGCCGCTGGCCAGACTTGGAGCCATCGACCGAGCCGGTCAGGCATTGACCTCGCTCAGCCATGTGGCTCAGGCGAAGGTGCGGGGTGCAGGGCGGTGGGTTGGTGGATTCGATCGGTTAAGAAGAAGCCAGCGGCTGGGAGGTGATTTGTCCGGAGAAACGCTGATTTTTGTCCACGTTGGGAGCAAGCGATCCGTAGGATCGTGCGCACTACTGTTGGTTGGACGTGGCTGGCCCAAGGCCCTTGATTCAATGTAACATGTTGGCTTCGTGTTGCAGTGCGGGAACGCACCCTCTCATGAACCGCATCCTGGAACATCATGAACCAGTGTTGGGCTTTTGAATTGAACCACACGCTGTTTGTGCGTTCCTGCATGGAGGCCGCTGTTCTTGCAGCTGCTTTGCAAGCTGGTGAGAAGCCTGAACTTCGCTGTCGGGTATGGGGAGCCTTGACCATGTCAATGTCTCAAAGCAATGGACCCCCAATTGAGACGCTAGCGTGAATTGGACGACAGAAGACGAAACATAACCAGCAAAGGTAATTATATAGGCAATTCTAAGAGATGTCCCTGGTTCATCAATGCACTCGCAAGCGTGCAAGTATCTAGATTTGATGCAAACATCCCAATCATTTGAGGTTAATCAATGTTAATCATGTCCAATCATCGAGCCATCGTCAGTGATTAAACTTTGCTCAGCGCGACTTTCTGCTCAGGACTGCTTGAAGCCTGTGTCGAGGGCTGCTACAACATCCTTTCCTTGGCTGACCTAGACAAGTTTCTGGACTAACATTTGCTCCGTTTGGTTTGCATGCTGCAGAACCGTGCAAGTGCCCACACTTTGGTTTTATGTCCTAATATATGAGCCACGGTCAAAACATGCGAAGACCACTTTAGTAAAGAGGGGTAGGTTTGTGCACAAACCCCTGCAAAACGATAAGGTCCACCTCAAAACCGATAACCCCAGCGCTGTATATGATCATAAGTATGTGACGAACTCAAAACACTGCAAAACCATAAGGTCCAACTCAAAACCGATGACGTCCATTTTTTGGTTGAAGAAGAATAAGGAGTTTTGACCGTCCCTCATATAGTTTTTCTTCAATACACCGATGCAACTTTTCATGTCTATGTGTATATGTTATTTATAGTCGTGATATGTAATGGCTTGCATACTCTATACTTCTACAACGTTTAGATTCACACGCAACTTGCCCTGGCAAGTGCTACGGCCACAGTTTCAACAATGGCCGGGGCTAAGCAGAGAACAGACAGAAGAGAACAGAGAACACAGGACACAACGGAAACCAGAGAGACAAAAGGAGAGGGAAGAGAACAAAGAGAGGAGAGAAGAAAGCAGAGAGAAGAGAATAACATCCGCTGTTTACTCACAAGTTCTCCTGCACCACCTGGAGAAACCACTTTGCGGCTAAGAACACCAATATGAACACACGTTTGAACATCCTTTGCTCGTCCGCTTGTCCTTGCCGATCGAGGTTGATGGTGATCACCCAGATCTCGGTGGCCGAGGACCCTGATGAAGTGGTCGCCGAAGCGTTGCACGTTTGGGAGGCCCTGGCAGCACAGGGGCTCCAGCGTGGAGGTGAGACCAGCGATTTCGTGGAGCAAAATTTCGGGAGAGAGGGAGAGAGTCTGAAAGGAAGGGAGAGAGGAAGGGAGCGATTTCGGTTAATTCCTGTCTTGACACCTTTTTGATCACTATCCACTTCAGATTGATGGAGGGTTTGCCAGGTGGATGTTGATTTGATTCGCAAATCGAAACAGAAAGCAATTGCCAATTGCAGGTGTTTTCGAGGAAGTGGCACCAGTTCTGCCAAAAGTGCTTGTGCCACTGGTGCTTAACACCTTGGAGAGAAAGCAGCTTGGTGTCATGTCTGCAATTGGACAAACACTTCGGCTGATGATCCAATATGATCCACACCGTGATGATCCATGTATGTAGTCGCCGCTCCGGCCAAACGACCGGCCCTCCGGCGAAGCTCGACGCCGCTCGAGATGCGGGCCGCTCCCAAGGATGGCAAGAAGAGGACTCTTCTTTGGGTCTACAAGAATCTGCATGCCAGTGCCTCATGGCCATGTCTGAGGTGCCACTGACGGGAATGGAGAACGAAAGCAGGTGTCAAAAGGATTTGGAGGGGAAGGTGGTAGCAACTGCAGCCTATATTCTTTGTAGTGACGACGACTGCAGACGAAACCTCGGTTTCTCGAGGCCAATTTGTTAATCTGTTTCTCCACGCTGGGGGGGGGTCCTGTTGGGTCAGGCTTTGGCCGATCGCATCTTGGAGACGATCCTGGCCTTTCTACGAATGGCCTTTGCTTCGGAGGTTCGGCCGACCGC